GGTTGGAGAAGGCAGCATATGTCCTAACAAAGTGGCTAGTACAGAATATAAATAAAGAGACTTGAAATAATGAGGGCTTTTTCCTCCTTCTACATGCAAGTTGTCTCATATTCCAATTTATTTCAGTATAAATTTATTCTTGCATATGCTAATACATGGAATCGGAAAAAGAAAAAATATTTAAATACATTATAAAACATATGGAAGCATACAGATTATGTGATCTTTAGTAAAATCTATCTTAATGATGAAGGCACCATTTAGCATGCACTCTGGAACTGCGCTCCTTCATTTATTTATGAGTTCCTCTAGACAAAGAAAGTATCTTCCAAAAATAGGAATACCATATTTTCAAGGCATACTGTGTATTTTATTTTTGAAACTAGTAAATGTCAAACAGTATTCATACACAGTATTGACACATTAATGTTTTCATTCAACATTGAAGATACCTTTCCTTGTTACATTATATATTTATGACACACAGAGCTGTCAAATAAATTATGTCAAAGCAGCTACAGCCAGACCTTGTGACACTTGAATCATAGAATCAGGGCAAATAACCTTTAAAATGAAAGACATATGACAAGAATTAGAAACATTTAATTTGCATAAATGTAATGTTAACAGTCTTTTCCTTATTACATATTTTATGCCTAATTTTTATTGCCTTTATATTCACTCTATAACATCAGTTTGCTATCTCTTTTTTCCTTCATTGCTTGCTTTGTTTTGGAATGTGTGAAACAAATTCTGTAAGCGCATGTGATCAGATCACCATTTTAATATATCTCCTTATCAAATCTTAAATGTTGAGAAAAACTCTTTACTCACATGATATACTATTTTAAATGTAGAATAAGTTCCTAAAAATAACTAAAAATTCCTAAACACATCAACTAAATATATAATCTCTGATAACTTTGGACCACCTCTGCAAAAAAACCATTGTATTTAGGTTCTCCTATGAAGTGCAGAGTACACCAAATGTGCAGAATTGAAGCACTGATTTGCAAAAGCTTGGTGACTCATACACACTGAATTTTGCAATATAAAGTCTGAGCATGTGAGTATACATACAGGAAGCAAAGTGAGTGGTTAGATTTTCAGAATTGCTTACCAAGAGTAGTAAACTCATTAGTTTCATTACTTGAAACCTGTTGGCAAATGAGAGATTTCCTCAAGTCTCTGCTGGCGGGTGCAGTCTCTCTCTTGCTTTAGAAATCACTGAGGACAGAGAAGCTCCACAGTTTGCTCTTACTGCTAACACTGCAGAAGCTCACAGATGTAACCACACTTGATAAAACTTTGCATTATTCTGAAAAGTCCCTAGGGATGTTCAAGCAAACAAGGCTGAAGGTACAAAGATGAATGTCTGCAGCAGCAGGGCACAAATAACTAAACCCGTTATTGTTCCTGACTGTAATTCCCAACTCCATTGAGATAGTGTGGCCAGGCCTGCACAGCCATAAGGACACACAGACTTTGTGCAGGCTCTTTGCTACAGAATGAGTTTGGCTTCCTTGGCCCTTCTGGGTCAGAAGAATACATCTGGTTTATTGTAATTAAGATATTCTTTTATAATAACAGCAGTTGGACTAGATGATGCCTGTTGGTTTCTTTCAAATGTTACTATATTCTATTCAATTCTATTCCATTCCAGTATAGCTAATTGTGATGTTTTGGGTTCCATGTATTTACATAATAATTCTGAGAGCCAGAGGAAAGCCAGTGGACAGTCTACATAAAAAAGCATTAAGAGAAGAGTAGAAATTGATAGTGGGGATTGCCTCCAAAGCTTAATCCAGAAGTTTTAGGGTGTTTCCTTAAACCTTCACCAAAGAATTAAACACTTGTCAGTTGAGTCTGTCAGTGGCACAAACACACCATCAATAGGGATTTGCAAAGAGCAACTTGGGGAGGACATGAAGCAACTCCCATCCCACCAGCAGACCAACCATGACCGGGCAGTCCACGAGGTCTGATGGCAATGGTCTCCTGGACATTTGAAAACAGGCAAGGTGCAGTCACATGTTTTAGTAAACTTCAGTAGCTCAGAAGAGTGGGTGGTGGAGAAATGGAAACTGCGTCAGTGGTTTGTAATTTGAAATTTGTTCTTCCAAGTCAATGGTAAAAAAGAAATAATACTCCATCCCCCACTGCCCATAGTTGTATAGAGCAGCTTTGTTTTGACAGAGCTTAAACTCAGTACAGGTATTTTAGAAGAAATTGAAAGGGCAGCTATCTTCACATGCCCCTTAAACACTGTTCTGCTGAGAAACAACTATCCTAAGTGATGCCACTTGCCAGACAGGGAATATAATTAACAATACATGCTCTCAGAAACAGAAAGTTATGTAGAGTAATTATATATCGCAAAATAGATTACAGAAATATTATCCCAAATCCCAGTGTTGGAAGGTTGGAGCTAATGGGAGATAAATGTTCATCCCTAAACCAGCCATTAAACTGATCAAAAATTATTCCTATTGAAAGCAATAAAAATTAGAAGCTATTTTGATAAGCACTACAAAATTGATTATTAAATGCAAAAGGTTTCTTAAAAGGCTAATACTACAAGGAATTTTAAAAGAATCTGTTTTGTTCCATTTACAAGATCATTCAGAATAAAAGTGAAAGTCTACTGAAAAGTGATGTTATCTTTGCTAAAGACCCTATTTTTAACAATTTCATTAATCAGCTAATCTATAAATTTTCAGAAAAAACATTCAGCTGACAAAGAACAAATGCTGAACCTAGTAGAAAAGATACCATTTATTCATTTATTCAGTTTGCAGTTAAGTAGAAATCTCCATTCAGCTGTGACATAAAATTGATGCTTCTGCGATTAAAGTACATTGTAAATAGTTTCTAAAGTGTTAATAAATTACTAAAACTGTTTCAAGAAATTATTAATCAAATGTTATAGCCTGTTACAGAGTCCAGTGATGTAATGAGCCATTTGCAGTCAACTATAGCATCTGAAATTAATGTGCTTGGGACAATATACAGAATTTATTTCTCCTGCATATAATGAGTTTCTCACTTATCAGCCTTTTGCATAGTAATTACCAAAGCAGTCTCAAAAGAACTTGAACAGAACATTTCTAGTCTTCTGTGGGACAAAGCAGGGAATAACTACAAGAGTCACTCATAATTGAAAGGGCAAGAAACCCCACGGCTCTCTCCCATTATCATCTACTAGTGTGGAGTGACCAAGACTTGAGGAAAAGCATATCAATGTCTTAACTATGCAGAGATGCAGAAGTCACTCCATGAGCCACTTCATCTCCTGCAGGCATCAGCTTTGGGCAGAGAGAGCAGGGAGGGTCCAGACAAGCATACTGATGTAACTGCTGCTGAAAACAGAAGGCTTAGAGCTAGATTTTGCCTATATGTGTCAGCTGCACAAAGCCTCCTTGCACTTCCCTCCTCTCTGTAGTGTAAGATGGCTGTTACAGATGTGCCATATTCATTTACCTATAGCTTCCATAGATTTTTTAAGTTGGTAAAAAAAACCAAAACCCCCTACTTCTTTTCTCATTTGTTGATTCCTTTTTGCTCAACTCACATTTGACTGCTGGTGTCCACATAAGGGAAGAAAGGTAAGAGGAGAAAAATCATACATAGAATCATAGAATGGCCTAGGTTTTAAAGGCCCTAAAGATCATCTGGTTCCATCACCCTGCCAAGTGCAGGGACACCTTCCACTAGAACAAGCTGCTAAAAGCTCCATCCAACCTCACCTTGGACACTTCCAGAGTCAGGGCATCCATAACTTCTCTGGGCAAACTGTTCCAGTGCCTCAGCATTGTCACAGTGAAGAATTCTTCTTCTAATATCTAGTCTAAACCTACTGTCTTCCCATTTGAAGCCATCCCCTTGTCCTATCACCACATGCTCTTGCAAATAGTTTCTCTCCATGTTTCTTGTAGGCTCCCTTCAGGTACTGGAAGGCCTTAATATGTTGCCAAATAACATGATAGCTGTGTGATAGTATGATCTAATACAATTGCTGACAACCCATAAATACAAACCAAGTACTCAACCTGTGAGTTCCACCACCCACTTTGTGTGCTCACACACAGTAAGTATACTGCACATCACATCAGGATTGTGGCTGAAATGTGGCCCACACCTCAAGTGCCACTATGGTCACCTTTCAGCTGCCTCAGCTGAAGATTTCAACACCAAACAAATCACAGCTCAAAGTGGAAATGCAGACTGGAAAAAATGTGGAAAAATGCTGGAAAAAAGAGTAAGTTTTGGAAAAATATTACCAGTTTTTCCTCTTCAGACTGAGACTAAAGAATACCTGTGGCTTTGAAAATGTAGCAAACCATAATAGCACAAGAAAACAAATATAGAGGGGGGCAATCCAGTGTTCTTAGTCAACATGTATCTGCCTTTTCTGCATAGACTTGTGAGTTCTCCCACTGGTCTGAGCAGGCATTAAAAAGCATACAAAACCAAGTACAAAAAGTGAAAGCATATGATAGCTGTGATGCTGTTACTGCAAATAGCTGTACTGAACAGAGGAAAGAGTAAGAACAGCCATTAAAAAATGTATGCATTGGTATATGCCTTGCTGCAGACACTGTATCAATTATAATATACTCTTTTAAGAATTCATGTCTCTGTTCCATACACAAAACTACAGATGAATATTACAACTAATGTTACAATAGAAGATACTAAATGAATACACCTAACTGGTAAACACAGTACCTCGTGTCTGCTTTCTAATAATTTGTATATAAATGTATATAAAAATATTTTATAAAACCACTATAGAACAATTGCATAAAAATTCTCTGAGTGATCACAGCTGAAAGATTTTCTCTCTGAAAGGTAGATCTGTCGTTACTGAACGTACTAAATATATATGGTATACAAAGATCATCTATGAGATCCGCTGGAGAAAAAAGTGAAGGAGAAGCCACGTTGTAGTTCATTTTGAATATGAGCAGATGAAACTCGCTATGCTCAATGGGTGGGCATCACAATTCACTCTGTTCACTGAACTTGCTGTAATTCTAAAATGACAGAAACAGAAAAAAAAGCATTATAATGTTTTCCTGGAATATAAAGTAAAATTAGGATATGAAGGAGTGCTAGCTTGAAAACACCACTAATATTAAAAAAAGTTATTTGTGATTAAAAAAAGTTATTTAAGATTAACTGCATAAAGTAATAGGCAAGTATCCTACCAATTTATAAACATAAAAATGAGAACGACACATTTTCATTGGAGCATGTAGATAAGAATATCTTTTCTAAACAGCAGCGGAGATGAAAATGGACCACAAAGCCCTCTTACCTCTACCTTTCTGACAGTGGAAGACTATTTCCTGCTATATGGGGAAGCTGAAATGTGAATCAGAACAAATCACTTTCTGTTAGTCTCCAGCCCCTTCCTCGTATTTTTTTCTATCCTATTCTGCCTATTCTGTCATGTTAACACTGAAGAGTCCTACTGACCTCAGCACCTTAAAAAGGCACAGGAGGAGTACATAGACTGGTAGGTACAGTGTGCTGCTGCTATTGCAGTCACCCTGCCTTTTCACTCCTGTCCACCTTATCTTCAGGTGTTCAACACAATGAATACATAAAAATCCCTGAAGTACATACTGTGAATATTCTGAAGAAGCACCAGCAATATATGTACTGTTCATGATTACATTTAGAATTTGAGTTTGCATGTAAGCCTTTCAGACTAAACTGCTAAGCCACTATGCAGAGGTTTGACTTGCCTAGTAGCTCTGATAGAAACAAGCAATCAGTTCCTTAAAAAGTGCACTTTGAATTTTAACTCCCCCTTTTCGTTATGAACATTTGTCCTGGTCTATCCATGTTTCACTTCCATAAAATGGGAATGCTGGTACATAACTATCTTATGAGAATGTTAGGAAAGTTAATAATGTCAATATAAAAAGCAGACATTTTATAACACACCAATCATTCTAATTCATCTAATCAGACCCAGACAAAATATACAATAGCCAACCCCATTATTTTTGCCCTGCAGTTATCATTTCAGCAAATTATTTTTTGTAGGACAACATAATGAAAAATGTTGAAAAGCGCTGAAGAGAACATGTTTTTCTGGTCAATTCACGAGACCAACTATGCCAACTCACCTTAATCTGGATAAATCAATGGAAAGTGGTTTTGTCCATAGGCAAGTCTGATTTAATTAGCTAAATACAAAGTGAAGAACAAAAGACAAACGACCAAACCACAGACCATGATGAGTTTAATGTCTCTTGGAGAAGGCTCTGAGCCAAGCTCTAGCCAAGTTTGAATCATAAATAAAACCATGGGATAGCACACTGCTTTTAATGGACACTCACTTGCACTGCCATGACAGTGGAAAAGAATCACATAGTTCAAGAGGAAAGTCCAGGTTTACAATCTTTTTAAAAAGGAATGCAGGAATCATTGAACAAGCAAATAGATGCTCAAGCCTCCCTTCTCCCTCTTGCTCTCTCTTCTACCTCGTGCAATTCCCCTCTTTCCATCAGTGAGCCAACACAGCATGGTAGAGTGCAGGACAGAGACAACATTTCTAACTCAAACCAAACCAGCTGGGGATCCAGAACCGTTTCAGTCAGACCAGTGCTCTGATGTGTGAAGAGCTTCAAGCATCCCAGGCTGAGAAACAGGAGTGTTGTTTCAGTAATGCAGAAGAGGCTGCGAGTTAATTTGTCTCACTGAGGGGCCGTGTTAGGTGTTTCTAGACGACATAAATCTTTCCAGTGGAGAATGAGCCCAGATTAAAGCACCACAACACAACACCTCTGGATCTATCATAGAAGATGGAGATGTTGTTGCAAAAGTAGATGTGGTGATGGGAAGAGAGTGCTAGCAGCAAAAAATGGAAAACTGCATTTCTCAGCCTGAGGACTAGTTGTAGATTACAGACAGATAAAAGATTTCTACATAAAAGGTTCACTGGGTGAATAAGACTTTCCCAGACTTTAACAAATTGCTGTGAGTATCCAAGAAGCCCTCCAGGCTTCACCTACTCCTGCTTGTAAGTCTTACCCTGTGAATCGGAATGGCATCAATTGCTGAAGAAATAGATTCAAAAAATACAGGATTTTCAGAGTCAAGATTTCCACCATACTGCATTGCTTTTATCAAGGAACCTGCAGTAAAACAAACACATGAGCACTGAGAAGGTGGTGAAGATATATAAACCATCATGTTAAAATTTTTACTGTAAGCTGATACTTGCCTTTGCAGTGTGCTAGCAACACATCGATGTATCTGTTTTTACAGTCCACGTAAATCTATGTTTGAAGACAAGAAATTAAAAAAAAAAACTGTTTAAAATACCAACAGAGAAGAAAGTTCACAAAAAGCCCACCTTCAAGGTAGGCAGAGCCCGGAGTGCTGCTGCAGCAGCTGTACTGCCAGCAGCCACCAGAGCGAGCCCTTCTATAATGCAAACATCACCAAGCCACATTTATTTCCTGCCACTGCTTCACAGTACTCTACAGCTCTGCTGAGAATTAAAACTGAATTTGAGTAATAATTTTGCAATTTCTGGCTGTATTTTTTAGGGGTATTATTTCCACTTCTCTTTTTTCAGTGTGTTTTCACATGTCCTTACCATATGCTTACTTCCAGCCCACACAGACAGGACTCAGACCTAGGAAACTTTGAGACTTATATCAAAAAAGCACCACAGCTATCATGCTGCATTGAGCAGTAAGCTGTTCTTTATTATTTCTTTGAAAGTGTTCAGCTCCCCAGAGACAAAATATTAATAAGATAGAAAACAAAATCAAACCAAACCAAAACAAAACAAAAAAAAAAAGTGAAAATAACTCTAAAAGCAGAGTAGGGCATTCTCCTGCCAAATGAGGAATATCCTAAGCAGTTACTGCTTCAAAAAATGTTTAAATAATCCATGTGAAGTAGAAAAATTCTGGGAGGAGATTCAGTGAAAACCCCATCAGAATATTCTATTTTTAAAATAAAGCTAAAATCTTACTCAGTTCAAAAATCCTCCATCTCTGACATCAGTGATGATATTTTGGGAAGGAGTGTAACAAGGACATGTTGAGTGTGGTTGTCTTGGTAGGAGGAGGAGTAACTTGGTTTTGGACCAACCATTTATCCAGAGGCTGCACTACCAACCTGTGCACTTCACAGCTTATCCAGACTTACCTCTCACAAATTGTCAAACACATCTTTGACATAATTTGTAACTTGGAGGTCTCTAAGACCTTTTGAAAATCAGTTTCACAAATTTTTAAATGAATACAATATTGAATGCCCAATATTTCAAATGGATATTAGTGACTATTAGTGACTATTGTTCAACAATTAACAGTCCTATATGATCTGAGTTCAGACCAGAGCAATCCAGGTCAGTTTCTATCTATGATGAGCTCTTCCCAGTACGAAAGGATAGGAAAAGTACTGATAGGTAATAGCTAATAGTCACTCTCACTAACCTTATTTTTCCAGTTTTCTTTTTCATTATATCCCTGCCTGTATGTGTAGTTTTAATTTAAAATATTTTAAGGCAGCATTTACTTCACTGTGCAATCACTGCAATAAATTGAGAAAATTGTTAGGGCAACAAGAGGTCTGGGCCAAGACCCAAGTTCAAATCTAGCCCTTTATCTTACTCAGAAAAATTATGCAAACCAAGTCTTCCATACCCACTTAATGCTGTACTCACTACACAACTTTTAAACTCCAGACTCATAGACTTGTTTCGATTGGAAAGGACCTTTAAGATCATCATGTCCAAGCAGTGACTTGGCATTGCCAAGTCCACCACTAACCCATGTCTTTCCATCCACTCTGCCCCACCTGTGGCACCACCTGGGGTTGTTGTGACCTGAGTGCAGGACCCAGCACTTTGCCTGGCTGACACTCACACAGCTGGCCTTGGGCCATTGATCCAGCCTGCCCAGAGGCCTCTGCAGAGCCTTCCTGCCCCCCAGCAGATCAACACTCCCACCCAGCTTGGTTTCTTCTGCAAACTGACTGACAATGCACTCGATCCCCTTGTCCAAATCATCACCAAAAATATTAAACAGGACTGGCCCCAAGGGAGCACCAGTTGTGGCCAGCCACCATCTGGACATAGTTCCATTCACCACCAGTAACCAGTGACTGCTGGGTTTATTCTTCTGGGAGCATCTTGGAACTCCTGCACCGCCTGAACCCAGTCTGCAACATACATTACCCACAGGAGAAAGGATGAAGATCATGTTTTGACCTCTGGCTTAGCAGACAGTAGAATATACAGATAAAATCGCAGAATTAAAGCTGAAATTTTAAAGCAGTAAATTTACTCATCTCTACAACTGACATGGCAGGGTCAAATATGACGAAAAATCAACTTAAAAAGGGAAAAGTTCCAAAACTCCTCTTCATTACATATAGATACATAGATTTTCTCTGTTACCCAATAGAATATTAGGTTATTAGATATTTTTTCTGTTACCCAATAGAAATATTTTAATGTAATTTTTTGTATATAAACACAGTACAATTTAATACCAAATCTCTGTTCATCTTTTCTATAGGTGAAAGATTTATCCAGTGACATAGGTGGAGTGACTAGTAGTTGGCCCCAATAACTCATATGTATAATTATATACAGAATGTTTCTAGTGTCATGAATACCTGAAGAAGCACGGAGACTCCAGTGTAGTCAAAGAAATTCAGTCCACTGCAGTCTAATATCAAAACATGTCTCTCACTGTGACACGGCTGCACCAACTCACCTACACATTTGATAAATGAAAACCTTTAATTAAAAGGAGAATACTCAAGAAATGGGTATAAGAATGATGAAATCTCAACAAAATACACCCAACCTATCACAATAAAATTGTCATTGTTATGTGCTGGGATATCAGGAAAGCAAGTGCCATATTTTAGAACAACAAATGAAGAACCTTTAGGGCAATGGAAAGAAGTGATGACAGACAGAATATATTAATGGTGATGTTTTAGGCAGCAATAGTGTCTCAAGAATTAAGCAGTTGCTTCTTCAGACTTTAATTTCTCATTGAGTTGGCTTCTTTGGAAGATTTTTCATGGTATACAAAGACAATATATCTTTTTTTTTTTTTAATTCTGATATGACACTGATTTCCATAGGCCCTAAACACCTGTCTATGGCTTAACTTAATATTCACCCATAAGGAAGAAATAGATCTAAAGTGGAGTGTTTAATTTTCCTAAGGTTTTACTATGCTGGTTGTTGACTGGGTAATTTTTTAATACACAACTACACATTCATGCGGGAGAAGAAAATTGTGTTGGCAAGATTAGCAAAATTCTTATATTCATTCTTCAACCTCAGGCCATCTTGTGTTTAATCAAAACATACTCTGTTCTAAATGCATCCTGAGCTAGCACACAGATAAATGATTCCTGGCTTTCATAAAGTGAAAACTAGAAAATACTGCACATCTTATTTACATTGTTCTGTGAACAAATGTTTGTTCACAATGCACGCAACTGAAAAAAAAAATGAAGGAAAGCAATTCTGATTGTAAAGATGAGTTAAGCTGAATGGCTTTGGCAGAGCAGAGGTAAAGATTTTAAACTATTGAGGAGACTTGGAATTTTCCCATGAGGCAAATTTATAATGATGGTAATTCCTTTCCGATAGTAGTCTGAGAGCAAAGACTTTTGGACTTGCATGTCCAGACATTTACTGTCTCTGTTCTGTGCAATGTGCATGAATAGATACATACAAACAAAAAGATAGGATTTTAGAGGGAACCTCCTGAAAATTACTGTGATAGAAACACAGGAGGGGTTCATGTGATCTCCCAGGCTCAGTGTAATAATTCCCTGCTGCATCCTGAATTGCAATAGAGGCTTTCTGGCCTCTAAATGGGGGGGTAGGTAAAGACCTGCACCCTCTTTGGATCAGTGGCATGAGCCAGAACAGCTGTTTCACTTGGTGCTGATAGAGACAGTATTCCCCAAAGGGATAAAGGGAAGATCCTGATGAAAGCATACATTTTTTTCCATGTTTTCCTGGACAACTGCCATAAGGCTTAAGGATTGTGTCCTCATGCTCCCATCCTTGAAAATTTAAGCTCAGCATTTTGCTTTTCTTTTTAAAGAGATTTTTCTTTTTTCTCTGTTTGTTGTTGAAAAGACCCTATGAAGAATCACCATAGACTGGTTGATATAAGTAATGACAGCATTTAAGTCCTCAAGGCAGGTCTTAGGCATTCAGAAAAGAGGTCTTGTGCCTTCTGTCACTTTTGTATATGAGAAACCAATTCATCTTCAAGATGACTGAAATGTGTACTGGTAAGATCTCAAACATAATATTTTACAATATAGTCAATAAAATACAATATCATCTTCAATAACCCTTTTCATAGCTTGTTATACTACAGCAAAGCACTTTGTCCCCCCTAAGTTAACTAAACATTGTAGTACCATAAAAATGTTCTGAGTCTAGTTAACAAATGCAAACATTCAGATAACAGCCTCCAAATCAGGTTTTCTACTGTGGCTTTAATGCTTATAAGGGTTTTAAATAAACACTGTTTTAATTCTATCCACAATGAAGTCATCTGTATAAAGTATCCACTGCAAAAGGTTGCTGCAGCTCTCCCATGGGAATGTATGTGCTCTGGTTTGATTTAAGTGCTGCAAAATGTGGAAAGAGTGGAGTTTCCAGCTTAATCCTTAATTGAAAGGAAAGCTCTAGGGGTTTTTATTATATATTGTATCGATATACTGTATAATATTGGTGGTTATCGCATCACTAACAACTCGGTTGACATTTTCTGAGATTTTCTCCTATGTGGCATTAAAGATCCCAAAGATTTTACGTGGTTCTAATCTTACTTTTACTTTTTCATACTAATATACTCTGCATGCAAAAAAACCCCAAGACTTAGCTTGGCAAAACAGTCTCTTCAGCCTGGTCTGAAGATGAGTCCAGGCAACAGTGTGGGAAGGGTTTCCCCCACTATGTACTTGTCTCTTTACACACACACTCATTCCAGTGCAATAAGCAGGGACACAGAATCAGAGGATGGGCTGGGTTGGAAGGGACCTTAAATCATCCTGTTCCAACCTATGTGTGATGGGCAATGAGACTTCCACTAGAAGCGTCCACTCCCATAAAAAAGGCATTTTCAAGGGGTTCCCTGCTTTTGAAATCTTTAAAAGTCTGTCAAAACCAGAATGAATTACAGGACTTATTAGGCCAAGGTTAGCATAATTTAAGACTGTTTAGCATTCATGCTTCATTGAATGTTTGGTCTAACTGAAAATATTTATTTCCTCAGAACTTGTGTGCACCTAGAAATGTATAGAAAAATGTGGAACTATTTTGCACACTTACATCCATTTTGGTTTTAACACCATTTGTAGATAACAAACTCACCATGGCAACTTCCATTGGAAAATGAACAGAGCAATGTGTTCTGCTCACACTGAAATAAAAGCAGCACATTATTAACATACCAAGGAAAACCAGTCCATTGCACAGTGAAGAGAGAAAATCAATGCAATACATAAGAATTCTGTTTCTCAGTACCAAAGTTAACTCATTCTCTCCAAAATCATGCCCTATGCAATAGCCTATTGTATGTATAATGTTTTCTGGTATAACTTTAGAAGAATGCTGAGATACATACTCAAACTGATATTTGCATTTCTTTTTAGCTGGCTCAACCTCTGTCAAGCTTGGATTCACTAGAAAGCATATTTTGGAAACAATGCTTTTGGAAAGCGGGAGGTGGTTAAGAAGTGGTCAAAAGATGGGAAAAATGTTCTTGACAAGAAAAATTCTTGGCAGTGATTTTATAAGATTAACTTTAGATTAATTTTCTACTTGCTGCAATCTCATTTGCTATGCTAATATTTTAGTAAGAACATTTTTGATGTGTAAATTTATTAAAAAATTACATTAATCTCGACAATTTTTATAATGGTTATTTCAATATGCAAGTTCTCATAGAAACATGAGTTAAAACCAGAAACAGAGAACAGAAACAAAAGTGAAACTGCATTTTTTCACATCCATTATGTGCTACAGAAAGACATTTACTCAACAAAAAAAAAATTTAAAAAAAAAAGCACAGTGTTTCAGACAGCTGTACTGCTGAGTACCTTACAGAAGAGACAAAGGGTAAAATCTCCTTTATAAGTAATGTACAAATTAACTTATTAAATTGACTCAAATTAATTCCATGTAAACCCTAAGTAATTTCTCCCTGTTTGGAGGCTTTTTTATCAGACTAATCCAAATCAGTCAGCCTAGCAAAACCAAGGGAAAAAAGCATCACATACTCTTTGTCAGGAGACAGCAGAGGCGGTTAAGACATGTTGCTGCCTTAACAACCCATCTAAGACACAGCTTGGATTTTCTCAGCCCAATTTGACAAAATGGATGAAATTGTCTACAGTAAGCATTGTATCATATTGGAATGTCTTCATGGCGCTGATAGAAAAATGATAATTTATCTTTTCCCTTTTAGGAAGTGTTGCAGGAAGTTGCAGTAGTTATGTGCAGATGAACTTGGAAAAATACTATACTTACAGGGATATTCTGCAAAAATGTGATATACCTAATTTGTATGCTGTTTATTTTTCTGATACAATCAGTGCAAAAGAGGAAAAAGAAGCAATATCATTGATAAAATGTAGCCACTTTCTTCCTAATTCTCCCAAAATTATTTATAGTTAGAAATGAAGTGTCTATCTCTCAGGGATTTATCTCCAGGAAAAAAAAAAATCACATTTTATTCAAGCACATTTGTAGCTACTCATTGTCCTTCTAAAATCCCAGCTTTATATCAGATGAGATTATGTAAGTTCTTCTAGAAATTTTTGAGTTTTGGATAAGTGCTTTAATGTCTCTTACAGGACCATATGCAGAAATAGAAGGGATATTATTTTCAAGTAATACAAAAATAGTCCATATTGAATCTGATTAAGATTAGAATTAGCTTTATTCTAAATGAATAATTTCAAATGTTGCTTCTTTATACCTGTTTCAGTATCTGATTGCATTCTCTAAGAAACTCAAGGAAGGCAAACACATTCTTCAAGCTAGTCGTGGTGATTACTGAAGTGTAAAGCACATCCCACCTTGTTTACAATATCACATACCTGGCTGCTCATGCCATCCTTCTGGATTATCTTTAACAGGTCAGCGTGAAATTTTCTGGCATTCAAAAAGACTAACGGGCTGTTGACTGAAACTATTTTTACCTGTTTTAGTGACTCCTGGGGAATGAAATAAACATAATGCTGAAAAGTTCATCTTGGATTTGGAGAACAAACCCCAGACTCATTTCTTTAAAAAACCTGAAAATACCTGTGAATTAACCTAGGAGGAGCTTTGGATTGTGAAAATGATTTAATAGATAATTATATTGATCAGCCTTCACACATAACTGAAGTAAGAATGGAAACACAAGTAATATATAATGAAAATTAGCTATAATACTATTTAGCGTGAAAACAAGCATAGACATTACGAGGCATACTACTAAGAACTATTAGCTAACAATTATAATAGCATTATTTCAGTTGGTGTGATCCCCAAGTATAGACAAGGTAACATTTTCAGACAGGAAATATATTTTATTAGACAAACACATCTTGTAAAAAGTACACAAGGATTTAGGGCAAACACTGCAGGTGATTTGGGGAAAGCTGGCAATATTCATCTTGCTCATCTGAAGATGACCTTAGTACAGAGACAGTTCTCCATGAAAATATTTAATGGATACAGATCAACCTTGAGTGGCACATTTAAAGCTTTACCAGCATATTTCTACCACCAACACAATAATCTTCACAACTCTCCATTGCCCTTGAGCCTGTCTCTGCACTTCACTAAATAAGCTACAACCAGCTTACCAGCACCTTCAGTCAGACTGTGTAGCTCAAAACATGAATGTTACACAGCAGAACAATTTTGGAAGGACACCAGATGATGTTCCGAAACCCTCAGGTACAAGTGGCAGACATTTTGCACAAAACAAGTGCTATTTCTCTCACTCTCAAGGTGTACATATAAAAAAATCTTCAAAAGCCAGTAAGAAAATTAATATTTTTATATATATATTGGACAGCAGTAAGACATGCTTAAAGACTGGTTTTGTAGGGGAACTTCTGTAGAAGTTGCTTCTATTGAACTCCCAATCTTCCGCAGGTTGTGTGACAATGGAAGCAAAAATCAAGAATTTGCAAGAGAATAAAGGTCAAAAAATACTCTCTTTCTTCCTAACAAAAATCATGTAACAAGGTCACAGTCAAACACAAGTATGTGGAGCTGACACGGACCATTTTTTAGGTAGTTAAAAATTGTTCGGGATTGCATTGAAGATATGCAGTTTTCCCAACAGACTTTCAAGCAAAACAGAAATGGAACCACAAACCACATAAACTATCTCCTTATTGTAGACTGCTATTCAGACTTCTGGGAATGAGATGATCTCTCAGACACCACCACAGTGACCATGAAATAAAGGAAACATTTCAAACATCCCAACTGAGGCAAGGAACCCCAGACTATGTGTAGGGACTTTGCGCAATTTACCTATGGATGTGATTGCAGAAAACACCACAAATGAGTTTTGCCACAGTCAGATATGTGGCAAAACTCAACTGGCAGTTAAAATGTATCTGTTTGTATGGAATAGAGCTCTAAACTAAGGGCAAAACAAAGCATGGTATATGCTTGAATGGAGAAATGCTCTGACATCCCACAGATTCCCACAAAAATGATGCTATAGACAGCTTGGTGTAGAGACAAGTGGACACTTCAGTGCCATGGCAAAGTAGAAGATAAAAGATAAGAAAAAAGGAAGACTGATGTGCAAAGATCAAATCCTGTGATGATCAAGCTTCTATAAGTACAAAGTCCAAAACTTGAAAGGCTCAGATCATAAAGCCAGATCAAGCAAATGGCAGACTTGGGTATAATTTTTGTCCAGAATGGACAAGGTCAACTGGACCTAAATTAGACCAGCCAGATATTCCTGGCTCTGGTTTGACTATTTGTTGACAAGAACTGTTCAGAAGAAACCAAAACTTCCTCTTTGTTGTGTCCTTTCTAAGAAAGCAGGAAATTTATCTCAGGTGTCTGTTCCTGCCACCCCTTGGAAGGCCCGGGGCGATTCCCCTGCACACTCTGCTCGGGTGCGAGTTCAGTGCCAGCGAACGCCTGGGATGAAATGTGTTTCACATAACCTTCTAAATTCCCTTTGATTTTTTCCACATTAAAGTGTCTTTTCTCTTATTGATGAAATAACCCCTATAAATCCTTAATGGCAGGGTAGATCATTAAGCTTGCATATTTTCATGTTTAAAAGTCCTGTTGTTTATGTCTAATCTGTTACTTACCAGGGAAACTTGGATCAGTCTAACATTCATACATTAAAAATTACCCTAAATGCCTGCTGTAACCCAGTGACTCTAAATTCAATTAAAGGCATGTTTTCCTTCTTTGTTTTGTGTAATAGCTCTTGAGCAATTTGCGTCTCTAACATAATGTTATTTTCCCCACTGTCTGCAGACACTAGTTTGTTATTAGGTTACTGGCATTAATCTTACTGAATTAGGGGGAAAAAAAGCAGGGGACCAGCTTTTTTAAGCTTAAAAAAAAAAATGTATAGGCATTTGTACAAAGTGCTTCATGGACCGACATGAAAAATAGCAGGCAAATCAAATTTTTGTTACTCATCTCTGACAAAGTTACTCCAACATTTTTATTAAGAATGAAAAGTAATATGATAATTGACAGCTGATCCAGCCTCAACAACAGTGTTTTTCATTCACATTTCAGAGTCCTCCCCATTCTTATGTACCTGTCACATTCCAACGTTTCCCAGCATGCCAAAACAGTAAATGCCCTTGAGCCCTCGGAAGTTCAGATTTTTAGCCCAAGATAGCTTTGATGGAAGACATTTGCCAGAAATAATAAATTCTTTACAGAAGATCTGCTTAATGGTGAAGCACTAACTGCTGAGCATGTAGTTTAGTGATACATAAGACTCTCCTTCAGCACTAAGGGAAAAAGCACAAAGAAGGGAAAGGAGCACAGCGGAAAAGGCAGGATGTCCTGGTGATGGGGCTCTGTGCTGAGAGGACACATGGTTCTACTTCTCTCTTGGCTGCTGACCTACCATTTCATCTTGGAAGAGGGAGTTCACCTCTCTGGGTCATTACCCTTCTCTCCTTACCACAGACCTGAGCAAAAAGCAACTTTGATGATAATTGCAATGAAAATAATCTGACTGGTTGGTTTAAGCTTTTAAGAAGCCAGATTTAAAAGGCACAGTCTTTAGGAGAGATTCTTCCACCCATTTTTCATGTACACAGGGTGATGAAATTTGCGAAGCAGTCTGTAACCATTTTGTGGTGTTGCCCCTCTTTGCCCAGCCTTGTGGTGTCCTCTGGGACAATCTGGTCACGAGGGGTTGGGGAGAGAAATGGTTTCAGAAAAGAGATTGGGGATGATAAAAATACCAAAGGGCTTTTAGGAAAACTGATAATAATACAGAGACTGCTATTGTCTGCTCAGATTGCCCTTGCCATTCCTGGCAAGATATTTACTTAAATTTAGAATTAGGAAACACTGAGAAAGAGCAATTCATAACTATAAATGACAAATAAACTGAGATAGATAAATCTAAGAGGACTTGCCTAACTTCACTTTGCAGACAAGCAGAACCACCATGAAAATATCCCAGTTTCTGATGGCCAACTATAATATTATTATATTATCTTGGCTTAAGATTTCCAGTGGTCATATCATAAAAGCATTCCCTTGGCTCCCCGATTATGATCTAGTAACTAACTAGAGAAAGCAAACAAATCTGAATTAGTGAAACACACACACAGAAAGTTAAAAAAGAAATTAACTTACACAATTATCTTCTACTTTGTATTTGTATTCCACCTCTTTCATATTTTTCAAATTCAGTGTCTTTGCTCTGTGATCAATACATAGAGAAAAATCTGTACAGTTAATCATTCGTAGTCTTGAACAGAAACAAAAAGACACACACCCCAAGCTACAGCATAGCAATTTAAAGGTCCGAAAATGCAATCTGGGAGTATTCTTGTTATTACAGACCTTTTCTTTTCTGATAATCATCCTCTTAAACAGTAAAAAGCTCATTTTAGAATTGTGAGATCACTTTGAAAATATGAATAATTAAATTCTCATACAAAGGATATCTTAATTTTAATTTTTGTTTGCTGGCCAGAGCTACTTTCAAGTCAAGGTAGCTCATATATAATCTATATCTTCAAAAGTAAAGAAGTTTAATTAATATTTTTTACCTGCAAAAATCATATTGTAAGGAAAGGGAAAAGAAATATGTAGAATAGTTGTGGGTCATGCAAAACAAAGATATTTTATTTGTCATCGAAATTGACACATCTTTACATGATGAAGCAGAACATTGCATTCTAGCTATCAAAATGGGGGACTTACTGGAAAGCACCAGTATTCCTATGCTCTCTACGGAGAGAAAAGAGAAAATTGCCTTGGAAAGGGAGCTCAGTGTTAGGATCTTCTGATTCAACATGCCGTTTACAGCAACACATTTAACTGGAACTATCTATCCTCTGAGACAGATGCGCCAATATACCAGGAGTATTTGCAGGTATTGGGGCCAGATAAATGAGCCTTGCAAACATCAGCTGTTCTCTCGTCTCTGCATAAATGAAACTGTAGCTGCTGCTGCTTTTAATACAGTCTGATACATAACATGTACCACATCCAGCACTCTGACATCTGAACAGAAACTTTACAATAAATAATCTATGGTATTTTCCTTGCTTCGCTTCTGCTAACACTTCTGCTCATGATTGCACGGGTTACTACACATTATCTCGTTAACCCCATCTGTGCCGTGCCAGTTTGAGGGCTGCTGCCTTGTTCAATGCCTTTAGATGGTGTGGACAATCATGTGCAGCTTTACTGAACACAGAGATCAGCAGGAAGAGTCTTATTTACATTAATAAGTGCAGGTTCAGACTGAGGTCTCCTCTACATCTGGCTCTTTCTGTTAAATATCCATCACTTTCTGCTTTTGGAGAGCCTCTAACATCCAGGCTCAGGACAAAAACAACATGAAAACTTGCCTTTTGCTTTACTACAGAATTTACCAAAATTTTAGTTTGCTGAGTAGCACAATGTTATCACAAATGTATCCGTTAATTCAAGCAGAAGCAATCTCCCATTATTTTTAACTGCCTTGAAATTTTGAACTATTTTCATGCTGGTTCTTTAACTTATTCTATGAGAATAAAGCTGTGCACAAATGTCTAACACCATTAACTTTAACAAGCATTTAATCGAGCTGTCTATATTGTGCTTAATTTCACTGGGATTCAATGTTCATGCAAACAACTGCATGCAAGCAGCAAGTCATTTCCAGGACTGGTGAGCTGTGGATTAATTTTGTAGCACAAATCAATCATGAACCTCAGCTATATTTCCCTTTACTCATGATCCAAAGTAGCAACTATAACATCTTAATTAAAAAAAAAAAAAAAAAAAAAAAAAAAAGAAAACCAAACTTCTGATGGCTCTAGTTTATTTGTCTTGACTTTTCTAAGTCATGCACAGAACTTACACATTTTGCTAGATATTAGAATAGTTGTACAGTTATGTTTCATTAATGTGTATTAGCAGTGCAATTGTCAGCTACCAATTCCTGTGCAACATAGTGCCTAGGAGTTTATAAAGGCTCTGAGTTACTAAAGCTTGCCAGACATACTTTTTTCTTAAGGAGCAAATAAATATCTAATGGAAAAAAATATTAGTAATCTTCCAGTTGATTTTATGCTACCTTCACATAATGAATCCTACAGATGTGTAATAATAAGAGAAATCACAAAACAATGCCATTTTATAAAATGTTTTAGAGATTCCTTAGTCTACGGTAAATGGACAGATGTGACTTTTACTTTTGAATTGTCTTATCTTGCAATTTTCTGCAACTGAAAACCTGAAGTTTAGTTGTTAAATTTACTATACCGTATGTCTATCTTGACTGTGAAGCAATATGCAGAAGGAATACATAATGAGGTGCTAGTGGAACATTTCAATAAATTGTTTCTTACCTGGGAAAGCGGAAAATCACGATTGCTATAGTGCACACAACGCCATACAACAGTCCCACGTTAGCAGCAAAGCATATTGTAAACACATAGGTACTAACCCAGATGCTCTTTAAGGAGGGGGGAAAAAAGAAGTGATTAGTTTCAAATTTTATAGCAATGTGCATTTTACGAATCAGAAATAAAGATTTTTAAAACTAAGCTAGTTTCTCAGGTGTGAACATTTGGATCTTTGAACTGGCAAATACTGAAGACTGAATTAGCAATTAAAGTAATGCCTCCCCATGGGGAACCACATGCAGCATGGCACAGCTCTTCCCAGTGCTCACAGAGGTTCCTTCCAGGGTTACTTAAAATAGCATTTGTACTTCTGCTAACAGCTCAAGTCAGAATCAACTCAGTTGTTTCGGAAACCTGTATTTTATTTTTTACATTGCAAATTCTCATCACCTTCTTCGCTGCACAGATTTTAAATCCTCCTTTCCTTTCCCATAAAGAGGTGCCCTAATGAGGTCACATACAGAGACCTTTTCTTCCGCTAATCATACAAGTGGGAATTATGATTGGCAAGGAGGCTGATTAAAAGTGGCATTTATCAGAGTATAGCTGACTAAAACAACTCTATTACAAATAAAAATTACTGGGGAATTAATTCCTTCCAATGGAAATGGTGAGATTTCATATTACCTCCCCATCTTTCAATGTTTGATTACTAAAACTTTGGATTAATTTTAAATGCAAATTTAAAAAATACTCAGAAGCATATCTGAAACTAAGATCACTTTAAAAAGAAATTTTAAAAAACTTTACAAAACTTTCACATTTCAATTTTTCCTTAATTATTTTCTTACCAGAAATGATCACTTTTCTTTCCATACTACAATGATGTGTACAGCCAAGAGACATGCAGATTTTACAATTAAAAGAAAAGTATGAATTACTCCATTTCTTATACCAACTTAATTGGTATGATAAAGCACATCTTTCTTTCCCTGAGGGAGCCTTAAGCCAAGATTGCCATCTAATCTGTATATAAAAGGTGTTAAAAAATACTGGAAAGTATTTCATTTCTCTGGATATACTGATCCCCACAGGTGCCCATTTTAAGAATTACAGAGCTGCTTGTTCATGTTTGCACAATAACAGATCACATTACAACGGCACAGTCATTTTTAAGATTATCTTTTCTGTTTCCTTCACTTAACTCACGAAAGCCAGAAACAATAGGATACTTTCAGCCCAAGCACAGGGATTTTGCTTGAGCAGATTTCAGAACTGTTATTTTATGAATTATTAAGTGTAATTCATACCATGCTAACTTGTGCTTCACAGAGGACAGAATGTTACATGACTGTTGAGAAACCTTTTCCCCCCTCATCTTCAAGATTCCTAACTACTGCAAAAGACTTTTCAGTTTGTTCAACAGGAGGGCCACTAGGTAAGGAGGTGGCTCATCCTCTGAAACTGTCCTTAATCACGAGCTGTATTTTGACATGACATCTTATATGAAGTGTTGTGCATATATTTGCAAAGATCACCTTTATGAACAGCAGATATTGAGGTCTGATTAATGAATAAGAAAGTAATGCTAAGATTTATAAATCCAATATACATTTATAAAGAAGCTCACCTAAGCCTAACAGAACTACTGAAAACCTGAAAATCAGTGAGATCAAGAATTACACTATCTTATTAATAAGGCTGAACCCTTGACAGCGCCTGAATCCACTCCAGTGCAATCCAGTTCAGCTGCAGACCTGAACCTCATCACATCTGACTAAATCACTGCTGCAGACCTGCAAACTTCTTATGTCTCAGAAGAAAACAGCATAAAAACACAATACAAAATCTGCATAGGAAGAATCAAAGCCAGAAATGTTTAAGTACTGCTGACTACTGAGATGGCTAGTTAAGTGCCTCTCCAGTACCTTACATCTTAACTGTATTCAGAGACTGCCATTGTTGTAGAGGCTGAGCCAAAACTCATATTCTCATTAATCAACCACTCTTTCAGTGCATCATATTGGCCTGGAAGCAGTTCTTCTTTAATTAGGGTAGCATCAAACTTGTAGAAAGAAGTTATGTTGATCTGATAGACTTCTTTTTTAATTCATGGGTTATTGCAAAGTTCAACATAGAAGTGATAAAATTATCAAAGTTATCCTTGGCAGCTTACTTCAATATGGTTATTGCATGCTCCAGGACAGATAGAATCTGATCAGTCTTCAGATCTTAGCAATAATGTGTTATAGGCACATGCTAATATCAAAAACCAAAACAAAATCCACCTTCAAAGTACTGTACTAATTTAAAGAAAACTCTAAAGAGGGAGAAAAGAAACAAGCAGAAGAAATAGATTTGTGTCAACTCCTGTATGTATCAGAAAGGATCAGAAGCACTGAGAGGTACAGTGACTGTGTATAGCAGCTGCCTCCTCTAGACCTTCCATTTCATAGAGTCTAATCATCCACCACTGATGACAGTAAAATCTGCATTTGGTAGGAAAAATATCATATAAACAAGTTGCAGAATACTTTCTGAACCTAAAGCTAAACAATGCAATGCTAAGGTATGGTGATAAGTGTTTAGGTACGAGTTTAAAAGCAGATTATGCACTTGCCTTGTTTCATTGCAAACTGAGGAGATGATCAGCTGTTGCATGAATGGATAGGGTTCCTTGCACGTAACTAGCTGCAACACAGCTGTCTAGTCTCCTACCATAATCAATGGATGGTTATCAGAATGGATAAAATTTAGGATGCAGTTCATCTCACTCCTACCTGGTTATGCTGTAGCTTAATGGAGGAAGAGATGAACATGTCTCAGCTGACCAGTTCTGTGCTGTCTGTAATATGAGGCTGTGGTGAGCTGCTCTAACAGAGGCCCTCCAGCATATAGCCAAAAGAATCCCAATAAAGTCCTGCTCATTCCAAAACTGTCTCAGCAGAGGATGCTGGAGTCCTGGAGGAGGCTCTGGCTTAAAGGACTGAGTGACATGGCCATGGTCCCACATCCTTCTGCAGACAAATGACTAATGTGTGCATTCATCTTCAGCATACCCTTCATGAAAACTTGGCATTCAAGTGAAGCCCACCACAGCCATAGGGCGGGAACTGCCTAATGCACTCAGGGACATGGTTTAGGAGTAGACTTGGCAGTGTTGAATTAACAGTTGGATTAGACGGTCTTTAAAACCTAAATGATCCTAAAGTGGTACTGTAGTTCTTTGATACCACCTACAGCACAAGTAATATAACTCACACTAGCATATTCATTAAGGCAGGAAAACCAGAAAATCTCCCTAGGATGCCATAAAATAGAATCATGGATGTAAAATAATTCTCATAGAAGAGATGGTTTCCTACTTTGTAGAGGAAAGCAGAGCAGAGCTCTCTCTTTGTAAAGCATAGCAGAGCCCTGAGAGCTCTCAGAGCCCTCTCACAAATCACCCATGTGTGATGAACAAATTTAAGAGGCCATTTTCCTCCTGAGGATAGTATCTGAAGAAGTTCTAAAAAACCCCAAGAAAATGCACTATTGAGCTCCAGATTTCAAGGAAGACCCTTTCTAGGGCCTCTTCTCTAAATATTTTGACAAAATAGATTGACAGGATATTGGATACGTGTCCCAGAATTTCACAATGGCAAGATCTTGGAGGATACTTGTCAAAAATGAGACCCTCATTCTTGGATCTACTTTAATTGCTGAATTAGTAGCATTCCTTACATCCTTTAATATTAATATATGTGCATACAATTATGATTCATCCATAACTGCCTCTCATCACAACACCATATTGGGAATGTGTCATTTTTACCATAAATTCTGGCCATTCTTTCTACTTTAAATGTCAGGCATGCAACCTGGCTTTGTCTCAGCTGTGGTCATTTTCTGGTCAAGACAGATATGTAACTTTAAAACATTTTTTTTCTCTTTAAATGCCAGAGTATTTCATTGCTGAACTTCTCAAATCCCTGGTATATAATTAACTCATGAAAATGATCCTTATTCTGTTATAATTTTTCACTTAGAACATCACCTTCTGAAATATTTTCCCCCCATCTCTGGTTACTTTCGAGTCCAACTGTTAACAGCAAAGAGAACATTTTTCTTCAGCAGTCCATTGCCAGGCAGTATTTTTGCCTGTCTTAAAAGGCAGCTTATCTGAGATCCTGAGCCTTAAAATCAAAAGTTAACAAGAAATTCACTGGCCTTTTTAGTAATACTAGGAGAATATCACAGGTATCACCAGCCCTATCAAGCTGGAGAATAAAAACAGCAAGCTAGTAAAATTGGCCTGCATAAGAAATTAGGCTTACAGGAAGCACAAGGAAATAATCTTTTGACCTGAGGACCTGAGAAGTGAGATGTATTTCAGACAAGGTCAGATTAGCTTCCTGGCTTTTCTCAGAAAAAGCAGAAAAGATCAAGACAAATCACTCTCAGTTATGAATATAACATATATAGTGGAATAATGCAGTTATTAATCTGAGATTGTTGAAGTCATCCAGCCAAGGTGTAGGGACTGACAGAAGACCTTAACTGAAGCAGGAGACATTTGAAGTTCAAATGGCAAGAAAAAAACCTCTGGAATAAGTGGGGTAGTAGCTGAAAAGTAATCAAATGTGATTTGAGAGGATGTAAATCTGAAAGAAAAAGCCACCCATGGCTGAAAGAAGAGATTTCATAGAAACACAGAATATCCTGTGATTCAAGGAGCCAATGGATTTCCTCAACTCCAACCCCTGAACAATATCATACCTTCTACATTTAAAAGGATTGTGTTTATAGAGAACTAATCAACAAATAAATATATTCATCCCATTTGTGTCTAATGAGATGCTTAAAGAAGTGTAAAGGAACAAAGTAACAGACTCCATAATATTCCATTTCCATGCACAATCATTTGCCAGACCTATAACCAAAACAAACCTGGCTTCAATTCTACATGAAACACACCCTTCAAAGAATCAGTTCCAGAAAGGACAACTGCTAATTATTTCCAAATGTTTTGTTAGGGTTTCTGTCTTCAGAACACTTTGGATAACCTGGGTGAAGGAATGATTCATTTCTAGTGTTCTGTCAATTACTGGGGTGAATCCTTTCAGGCCAAAATAACCAGTGTAGTTACACAAATCACTGGCCTTGGTGGGGCTCCTCAGAGCAGGCAGCAATGCAAGATCAATGTTTATAGCCTTTCTTTAAACTATGCTATTTAAGGCAAGATGATTTATCCTGTCAAGCTAAGGACTGATGGTTAAACTACTTGAAGATAAATCATTGCTCAAGTATGTTTAGTCAAAAAGATGAACCCAGCAAACTCCTCCGTTCTATAGCCTCTCTTAGAAATGATGACAGATGTCAGAGATGTAATAACTAACTACTCACACAACCTTTTCTGCCAAAACCAGAAAAGCAAAAATCAGTCAGGTTAGTCTATCTGTGAAGACACGTCAAATTTAGTGAGATTCCAAAATATCTTGCTGGAAAGTGTAACTACTTATTATCTCAATGAACTGATGGAGAAGATATATCTCTCTCCCATAACTACCAATGTTTGAATGTTAATGACTTAAATGTTTTTAAGTCTATTGTTCCCAAAATAATTCTTGATCCACATCATCCATAATTTCTGTCATTGGCAATATGGGTTAAGCTGAAGATCAAATACAAAACAAGAGATAGAAAATATTTTCAGAACTTTACTGCTTGAGGAAGAAAATATTTCAGGAAATACGGAACTTTTCTTCTGGATAATACAAAAGAAACCTCCAAAAACAAGTCTTCTGAACCTCTAGTTTTCTGCAGCCAAGTGTGAAAAGTCTCACAAACTTGATGTTGCTTACTCAGCTCTGTTCCCCATACTAAAATGCAGTAGTCTAACAAAAAAAAGTTTTATTCTTTCTAGACTTAACCATTACTGCTATAGAATGCTAAGTAACTGGTGGATTCAAAAAAGTCTTGTCAACTCCAATTACCTGTATTTCCCACCACAGACATGGACTATGTGGCCAAAATACCTTTCTGAATATTGTTAACTCAAACATGCAGAACGTCAGCAGAAATTTTGGTTCCACGAATGGGCCATTACACCCAAAATCTCCCACAGAAGAGAAATCCAGGAGTCTTCTTACATCCAGGATTCATCTTTACTATGGAATTCTTGCAAATTCTCTCAGACTATTTAGACTTTGCATCAAACTAAATTTTCATACTCTATCTCTTCACCTATCTACTTTTTCTGATGTATTCCTCCTCTCATAGCGCAGAATCTTTCACTGTGTTCAAACAGTAGATAGATTTCTGCAAAATCTGAAAGAATTAAGGCAATTTACCTACAGCACCCCTCACTATTTATCTTCCTGCATCACTAGTGCTTCCAGTTCTGTTTGACCTGTGTGGTCATTCCCTATTCCCAGAGGATAGGATGCTACCAAAATCTCTTCAATAACACTACAATAACAAAAGCATGTTAAACAGATAGGAAAGACATAAAAATTAGACACATATTTGCTCATATTGTCTTGATCTGTCTGCATACATATCTCTAGCATCAGGTTTGATTCTTTATCATTGGTTAAAATGGTATTTTTTAATACAACTGATATTACAGATGCTGTTATTCTGAGCTGATAGTGCACAAAAAGTACTACTAATATTATCTTGCACTTATTTCTTCTAGGGCCACAGAACTGTTAAAGTTTAGTTAACAGATGTTTGCCAAATGGTCTCAGGAAAACCTCCTTACATTAAGTTTTACTTACCCAGTCTATTTTATCCACATTCCAATATTTTTTTAAGTCACGGAACTGCATTAGCATCCCCTTCAAGCCGACAACAATAATGCTTGCTAACACACACTGCAAAGACATAAACACAAAAGCCATTTGCATAGTTGTTAGTGAAAACAAATGCTGTTTCTTTAATTTAGCAGTCAATATCATAATTAAATTATAAAAAAACTGGTAGGTGTTTAGAAAATGGGATAAGCACAGGTGTCCTTGTGACAGCTGCTAACTGCAACAACCACCCTCTCCCCGTTTTTTTTGTGAAGGCAATCTACAGGCTACCTAACTGAGAGAAAAATGACAGAAACCTCAGGACTACTCAAGACTCTTCCATGCCTCACCAGACCAAATACATTCTGCCACAGTCTGAAGGACTCGAAAGCAAATCATCACTCAGCTTCTATGTAGTGAAGAATTGTAACTCCCTTTCCTCACTTCCTTCCCATCCCTAGAGAAGGCCTCTAAGGCAAAGATCCATTAATTTTGAGGCAAGAAAAATTATTTTTTTTTGTTCTTTGACTCAGGAAGTAGGAGGAGATGGATGAAGAAATCATCTAGAGCCAAAAATAATGGAGTACAAACCAATGGACTTACAGTGCAGAGATGGGGCTGAAAAAGCATATTAGAAGAGAAATAAATTATCAAGAAAGCAAAAACCAAAAAGTATTTTTAAAATATGGGTGGAAAAACCATATGGGTTTTTCATATGGGTGGAAAAACCATACCTACAGGAAACTGGTCAAAATTTACCTATAATCCATATGAAAACAAATGAAAGTAGGGAAGAAGTATAGCAAAAAACCCAGGACATATTGTGTACCCATCTTCAAGTGTCCTTACTTTGCATGGTTAAAATAAGCTATAAAAGGATCTGTGTTTGAAAAGTGAGAACTTTCCTGACACCATGTAAACAATAGCACCAAGCAAGTTTAAAACATAGTTGAGTTAAAACTTCATGTACATACATGGCAGAATTGTGGATAATTTTGGAGCTCTATTTAGCAGCTTTGACATGCCTCTAGTTAAAATTAACTATTAATTTGTAATACCAAAAGCTAGATATAGCTTATGTGAAAAGATGTCACACTACTTTAAAGAGTCTTAGCATAGATGTATGACAGAGATATGAGAATACTTTATAGTCTTTTTGTCATAAGCTTATATCAGTATTTAAAATAATTTGTATCATATCTATCTGAAAAGCAAAATTTGTATCATGTGCATATCAGGAAAAATATCATTAATCTTCATTAATTTCTATGACACTTTGTCAATTTACAAATCTGCAGTGACCTGGATGTATATTTTTTGTAAACTACATGTCAAAAGTAAGTAGAAGAGAAATTCACTTCTATACTCTGATGTGATAGCCTATATATGTAACTATATATGTCTAAAATCTTTATGTCTTATGCTGTCACCTCTGTACTTTATGATTTCAAGATTTACCATACCCTTACTATTCTTTCGGCCACTGAAATTAAATAGAGCTGTTTTAAAGGTTGCACTGTCTTTCCCTGGAAGAAAATGTCCTTAGAAAATGTTTGACATCTCAATCTTTAAAAAAGTTAAGTAGCATACCATAGGAAGCCAGTACAGCAGAGGTCCAATTGTGTAGATCACCACAAGAATTAATACACAAGAGATAAGGCAAGCCACCTAAAATAATAAACAAGAGTTGCAGATCATTCAGTCTAACAACAAAAACAACAAAGAAATTGTGAAAAGGACTAATTTTAAAATATTGTAGACAAAGTCAAGAATCAGATGTTGAAGGTGTTAGCTATTAATGTATCTGTGGATTGCAGATGCAAATAATTTCAATTTTAATCTCTGATTATTGCCTTTAATCAGCTACAGTGATGAGATAGTGAGAGATCTCAACATCTGTGCTTGACCCTGCTGCCAGCACCCTGACACAGATCAGAGCATCACTTTCACATTTGGGTATTAAGTGGAACGTGTGTGTGCAATGTCTCATCCCAGAAGTTTCTCAGCACTCACTGTCATTCTGCAACTTATTTATAGTCATGCACCCTATGTTGTACTAAATAACAGATCTGTCATAGCACTAAGCAAGAATTATGTATGCTATCATTTTTTCCACAAGAGAAGACTTCTGACTTCTTTTGTTGGGATTAACACTAAAAGAAAACTATTTTTAAACCAGAAACTACTAACAATTTCATTTTAATATCAGTGTATTTACTTAAGAAAATGTAGGTACCATTTTAAAAGTACATTAAAGATTATAACTAATGCAAGTAATATAAATTCAGAAAAATATATGGTCTAATAATTACATATTTCTTCACAGTATATATGGTATTAATCTGATGGAAAATGACAGTAAAATTGCACTGTCCCATTCTGCTGTGAGTGCTCACTGAGTACTTCTGCTCTTATAAATATACAGTTCAGATTCACAGAAGGTTTTTGACGATAAGTAGACAGATGCTCACTTTATTTTTATATTGATAATATGTTTCTTTACTAAAATAATTAGGTTTCATTTTAAGAGACAAGTTGTTAAAAACAAAACCAGACAAGTTGTTAAAACACTAGAAAATTAAAGTCATGATGTACTTAAAAATACCATCAAGAAGGATAGACAGAGTGTTTACATAAAAAGGGACAGAAAATCTGCTGGTAAAGTCACAAGGAACTTTTCCCTCTTTCTGCCTTCACGAAGAGCAAGAAAAAAAGTGTTGATTCTATTTGAAGGACGCTTCTAGTCCATGACAGAGTTTTTCACTTTTCTCCCAGGAAAATATATCACTGAGGAACAAATGACAAAACTGCAATCCAGGTATAGCCCTGGATTGGCTATACCTGAGAGTATAGCCAATTTGAGATAAAAAGACTCCTCCGTGCCCCTGAAAGGCTCTTTGCATTTCTTCCATGTGCTCTGCCAAACTGACTTCCCTCTAAGTTAAGGAAAGGCCTCTTTTTGCCTATGACCTGACCAAAATTTATAAGTGATGATCTTGTCATCTCCTCATTCTGTCTGGACAGCCACAAAGGAGAGCATTAAGCTGATGTGTTGCTTTCCAGGAAGGCAGGGGAGAGATTGTTATGCGTAATAAAATACTCTCATAGTACTCTCATAACCACACTCTTAACTTTTAGACACAGGCACTGCTATACTGTGAAACCAATGCGAAAACTGGGTTTTATTGTGTATTTGCTGCCTTGAAATCAATTGTAGTGGTTTCTTTTTCCATTTCATGTGTTGAATAACCTTTTATCAGGGTCTTTCCCTTCATGTACCAGAGCCAGGGTGCTCAAGTACCACATATGCCTCAAGGTTATAGGTCTGCAGGTTACCTCAAATCTTCCATGGAAAAGCCAGTACAGCATGATGCAGTACAACTGTAAATTGTACATTCAGTACATTAACAGATTACAGAAGAAAATGTCTGTGAGGATGACAGCTCATTGTATGACATAAAATTCAACTAAAATACATGAAATAACTAATAGCTAAGTGGTAGCTAAAATATTTTCATATAAATACTTTTCAAGATTGTTATTTGTTAGATTATTCATTATGATTAAGTGAGTTCAAAGTACTCTGTAGGCTTATTAGCAATTATTTAACATGTAGATTATTGGAGTAAAGTCCTATATAATTCCTTAATATTGTGGCATCTGCATGAGAAATAATTGCAAGGCATGGTTGAGGAGAAACTACCTATGGACTGTATTTAGTCTTGTAGCATTTCTTCCTTGTAACTAATGTCCTTTGTACAAGAGAAGGCAAGAGAAACAGCTGTAATATGAAATTAGAATCATTGAATCATAGAACTGTTAAGGTTAAGAGACCTTTAAGGTCATCAAGTTCAACCATCAACCCAGCACCACCACCATGTTCACCATTAAACCATGGCCTCAAGTGCCACATTCACACAATGTTTGAAAACTTCCCAGGATGGTGAGTCTGCCATTACTCTGGGCAGTCTGTTCCAATGCTTTACAGCCCTTTCTGTGAAGAAAAGTTTCCTGATATCTAATCTAAACCCTCCCTGGATCAGCGTGTTGGTGTTTCCTCTTGTCCTGTCACTTGGACAGTGTTATTTTGCTATTCTCCTGTTACCTGGGAGAATAGCAAAGGACATGACATTGATGTGGCAGGCTGCCCCTGAAGGGCCCCTGAGTTAAGAGGAAGAGGCAATGCTGTGGGGGTGCCCCAGGTGGTTTGCCACCGCTCTTGTTCCCAAGCACGTTTCGGACAGGTGACAGGGTCACAGTTGTCATCTCAGCTATTAAAGTCCCCTCTTTCCTGAGCTACTGTAATAACACCTTGTAGGTTTAGTTTCCTCAGTAGGAAATAGCAACAAACATCCTCAAAAATCTAAATGTCATCTCTGTGGGCTCAGTGTACACTGAGGGACAGGACAAGCACACCATGTCACAAGGCAGAAGCTGGGAGATTACTTGTGTTTTTTTAACAAACAGCTCTAAAGGTTACTTTCATTTTCTTTTGGAAATCTGATAGAAGATAAATTAAATCAGAGAAATTAAATATGATTTTTTTTCCCCCTAAACTTTGGTTTAGACTGCAGCATTAAATCCATTAAACACCATTAGAGGGCACTTTTGTTACAATGCTGACAAATTCACATAAACTGAAAGGGCTTTTATGCAGTTTTCTGCAGTCTGAAAACACAACTACTAACTTCCTTGCTGTCACAGAGCTTATATGTCATATTGAATGAAACAGGTAAAAATTAATAAATAGAACCATTGTTTTTCCTAGAAAGACATCACTGATCAGATGCAATTTCATGCAGATTGTTAAAACTGACAGGGCAGAGGCATACCCAGGAAAGAGGAAAATGGAGGCTAGGAAAATAGAATGGATAAATCAGTACAAATTGCAGTGAGCAGAATCATAGCTTTAATTCTCTGACATACTTCACTCTAAGCCTGTGTTTTTATAGCCTGTGTTTTTAAAACTCATTACCTGTGTTTTGGCGCCCGTGCTGTATAAAAGGGCCGTCCGTCCCATCGCTGCAGCACTTGGTATGCAAAAGAAAAATGAAGCAATCACGTTGCTGAGGCCATGAGCCAAAAATTCCTGCAAAGTTGTTAAATAGAAGATGTTTTTTCCTATTGTGCTGTCATTTCAATGCCTCTTGCCAACAAAGGAGTCCCCTATGCAAATATTAGCAATAATAAAAGATGGACACATTTTTGAGGGAAAAAATCCCACAGGTACATGACAAAGGGCTTCCCAACAGAATAGACCTTCTCCCAACTCAGAACTAATTTGAATGATAGAGCTGTTGAACCAGATTCATCAAAAGCAGGAGGGACATTTTGTTCCCAGAATAAATGCTATTGTCAAGCTTTGAAGATTAAGTTCAAACAAAATATTTACATCTTGATCCATGTCTGCTTTTTAACAGAGCCCCAAGTACTGGTGTCTGGAAACTGTCCAGATCATTTCTGGTGCATGGCTCACTGGAAAAAGCCACTGATTTCTCTTCCTTTAGAGCATGTTCTAATGAAAATGTAGTGGTGTGGTAGCCATAATTTATGCACACTGTCCTTCATCACAAATGTATTTGATGTTTGTTCACAGTCAAAATGCAGACATGTCTGAACAAAGGATTCATAGGAGAAAAGGTGGAGAAGTCACCGTGTATGTGCAGCCTAAGGGCAGTGTTTTCTAAGGAAGGGTTCCACCATGGCCACCCAGCATCACAGACTTTAAGGAGCAAGTCCTGAGGAAAATGTGTAGGAAAATGGTGCTGTATCCAGCCAGGAAAACAGCAGCTCATGAGTTTGTGTTCACAGCACAGAGCAGCACCCCCTTAAAGCTCACCCTGCAGCCTCACAGCCCCACAGGCCCCCGTGCCCAGCACTATGCCTGTCCTTGAAGGCAGCACAGCCACACCACCTCACTGCTCTCCCCTCATGAAGGTTTTGCTCTTGAGATCCATTATTTGATGTGGACATACACAGAGTTTCCAAGACTTCAGTAATGAACTTGTGTAAGCTACAAGACTTCCAAAGGTGCAGAAGGACACAGATGCATGGAGTGCCTTGAAACACAGATGCATGGAGTGCCTTGAAACAAAGCATTGTGTCTCCCTGGAGTCTGACCTGCACTAAGCTCAAAGCATTCTCCCTCTGCTCCATAGAAACATGGCTCTGAAGCATCAATGGAAATTCATAGCTCAATGTATTCAAACTGAGAAATATTTTAGAGACCTAAACAGCCAAGAACGTTCCCACTGTGTTTTCCAATGACATACAAGCTGTAAAAAGCAGGACCTGATGTAGCAAGACCAACCTGTCTAGATAGAGTGTTCAAATAGACCTCCAGCTGCAAAACAACTGCTCTTCATTCAACCCTATGCCATTTATCCCAAACCACTTAACATAAAGGTGGGGGCAACATTTTCATCTCACAGTACTAGTGCCAGTTATCTGAAATTGAGCCTTTCTTCCCACAGTGCTTGAATTAGCATCTCCAGGGATTTTCAGCAGGCTTGGAGTTACCCACCCACCATGACAAGCGCTGTAGTAGTGTAGAGACTGCCCACTTTTATTTAAGCATGTTCTCTGCAAAATGGAACTCAGAACAAAAATCTCCTTTGGCTGTAAATCTGGCAGCACTCTCTGAACTCACCCAGCTTCTTAGATACAAATAAACCTTTATTTCAGGTGAGACTTCTACTTTGCATAAGTAAATAATTTCTTATTATAACATCAGGTAAATCCTGGGACTATAAGTACCTGGTTTTGTTTCAGAATTGCTTTGTTTCATTAATGGTGGCTGATTTAACATCACAGCTTGTCTATAAGAGCTCAGCTGCCAGAGGAGAAGCTGTCTCATCCTAGAGCAGTGAAAAATGCATTGATACCCAAATGCTGCACTGAATGTAGCATTACAAGTTTATCCTGAAGGATGCGCTTCCCCAAAAGGAGCAGTTCAACCAATGCGGGCATTCTGCAGAGATAATTTAAACAAAACTTGGGTGTTTCTGTAAACACTAGAAGGTGTCAGGATGCTATATGGAACTTTTCCTATGAGTATTCATCTATAATACTCTTCCCAAATGATGATTTCAAGGCTCAGTGACACTAAGAAGAAAGAGCTTTACCTGGTTGTCATCCACAGTGTATTTAAACTTTTTAGCAGAGCCCTGAGCAAGAGCTAGGGAGGCAACATAACCAACCAGTGCCACTCCAAAAGCTTCAGTGACTACTTCAGGCAGGACACTCATGGATGGTGCTTTTGGTGATGGCAACCTATAAAAAATGAAGACAGTAATTTTTGAAAAACTTGATATGTAGTCTCTATATACCTACAATTTATGTGAATACCATAGAAACAATCTCTGCAGGAACAGCTAATTTTTGTATTACTTGTAAACTTGTAAGGTAACATTTTGCAATATTTTAAGATCTCTCTGTTGGGAACAACAGAAGAGAATTTGTAGAAGATGAAACAGTTTCAGATGGAGTATTCAATTTGAAAACTTCCATTTGAGAAATTATAAAGAGATGTTGATGAAATAACTCCACAACTGACAAATAAAATTAGCAACCATTCACTAATTTTGTAATGTTCAGAGAAGAGACTACTGTATGTTTTCTCTTTTTTAATACAGTTGGCTTTCCTGTAAAGTTAAATTTAAATCTTTAAAAAATTTTGTATTCCTGTCAGTTACTGACAGTACAGACACTTATTCCATCTAATGGGGATTGCAATAAAACTACTCAAGTTATTAACCAAATGACCACAGATTGTCTCTGAACTCTTCAAAAAGACTTTGGTCTTTCCAGAGCACAAATCACACCATCTGAAAAGCAAATTGTGCTCTTAAAGTTTCTGATGCTCTCCACTGATAAGGCAGTTAGGTATTTTGGATAAATGCCTAAAAATATACAGGAATTATCCAGGCTCTGCTTCTGGTTTTCAACACTACCTGTATGAGATTAGACAGAAAATAAATTCCTGTATAAATTTGCACAAATACAGTTGACCTGTTCATTACACATAGAAGGGGCACACTTAGCCCTGTTTTAGTCTCAGATTCGTAGCATGTTCTTAACTTAAAACACTTAAAAACTGTATTCTTTCTCAGAAATGTCCCTTATTTCACCTCTTTCAGTGCAAGCTGCCACACATGCACTCGTGCTGTCTTGGCCTTGTGTTTTGTGAAATTTAGGGAAACCCTCCTATATCCAAGCAGGAGAGTACACAACAGCTGTGCTCTTCCATACCAACCTGTAGTGTGTGAACATTTTCTCTGACATTTAATCTAATTTCTCTTTCTAGAAAATTATATTGAAATTTTTTTGCCTTCTTTTCAAGGTCATGGAGGAAAGTGTATCATTAACTACAGTAAAAATGTTCTTTTCAAGATTCAGCATAATTAAATCTTTCACATTTTCTCAGAAATTGCATTTTCTAAAATTACTGTATGGGTGGGGAATGTTCTGCTACAATAACCCAACCCAACCCTCAAAAAGCAGGTTGCAATAATCTTGTAAAGAGCGTCCTGCCTTCCTGTCATACATCATCAAGTACTTAGTACCTACTTTTTATTCCACACAGCAATAAAAAGCTATGAAAACATCTAAGGATGCATTTTTTTATGATATCTATGCATGTGTAACTTGTTAACATGGGATTGAGTTGTAAGAGAGTGAGGAGACAGGAAAAAAACAAAATAGATTTTTACCATTTCTTATTTCAGAAACTCCTTTGACCTTTTCAGAGACTGTTCTCAGAAATAGAAGTGTTTAAAAGCCAGAAGCTAATAAACCCACATTACCCTTTAGGAATATTTCCCACAACTTCTATCCCGTAGACGTATTCCATATCAGCATAGTAGCAAGCAATGGATGTAGCAATTATCTATTGATTCAAACAGAAAAAGGTGTTACATTTCTGTTCCTTCTGACATGGTCTCTATTATTGCCATACCTAAGCACATGGCACTGTTCATACATTTATCCTTAGATCAATCCAGTAAAACAGGAAAGTATTATGATTTTGTTTTTGTTTTTTCTAACAAATGTGTAAGAGAGTCAAAAGAAACTAAGATTTGGACACAATAAAGACGTGAGACTGTAGTGCAGTTTGCACATTCTGTGTTAATGAAAGAGATTTGTATGTCTCTCTGTAAAGCCCCAGGAACCTTGGCAATCAGTGTCCAAAGTCCCTCTGTTCAGCACCTGCCCCAGAGCACTGCCATTCATGTAAGCAGCTTAAAGCAGTTCATGATTCAGGTGTTCCTGAGCAATCTGACCCAGCTCATGTTCTCTGAGCACATCTAATCCACACTGGCTGTGTTGACCTCAGCACAGGACACAGCAGAAGATGTGTCTGCCTCTTGTTGTTATGTTCTGTCAGGTACAAATCTTGCAGAGGAATATAAAGTTTGACCCTGAGGAGGTTCAAATCCATTTCCTGTATTTCAAATGAGATGAACACACAAATCCCAATAGAGCAGGGTTCCAGGCTGCAATCCTTAGTTTGCTGGTACGTTTTATCCAATATTTTTAAAAAGGTAACACTGAGACCAGGACCACGCTACCTTTTCCAGCATTTTGCCCTTGTAAATATTTTTTCCAGCAACAAAAGTGTAATTGCAGTAATGCACTCTGAAAATGACCTGTCCTTCATACTTTGCATTTTCTTTTAGACGTTTAGAGAAAAACAGAAACTTTCTAGTGGTGATCTTGTGCTAATCATATGACTACAGCTTAATCCTTAAAGCAGGGATTTATAATGCAACTACTAATTTTAATTTAGTTAAAAGAAAACTAAAAACTGTTAAAAGAAAACATGTTAGTAAAATGACAGAAAGCAATAGCATAGCTATTTAACTTTGCTGTAGATAAATCACAAGCAACATCTAAGGCACAGCTACCCAGCAGAAGACTTGCTTGGAATTACAACATGCCAGTTACTTTTTATTTTCTATTTGAAACTTACTATACTTTAACATTCTAGGCTTTATGTTCTTGTAATTATGTAAAAAGTGGTAAACATATGAAAAATATTATACAAATTGGGAGCTTATATAATTTCTTTCTTAATTATTAAGCCAAACTGTTTCCTGTTTTTACAATTAACTTACAGCCATGAAAATCAGCTGTCTGTTTAATAAGTGGCAGGTGTGGGTAACTACAGACAGTAGTAGCAGTAAACTTCAGCAGCCTGAGCCACTGAAAGCTTTGTAAGAAAAAGCCTGATATATAATTTTGTACTTACCAAAAGCAGATCGATGGGAAGGACAACTTTAATATTTCTGTGAAATTTCTCATTCAGTTCTTTGACAAGAACAAGTACCACAATGCTCAGCAAGGAGAGAAGTAATGCCTCCAACTGAACTGATCTGATATTCTCAAACACATAGGCATAAATCTACAGTGAACAGCAAATAACAATCACAGGTCAAAAAACATATTCTGGATCACAGGCCATGGCATCTTCTCACAACTTCAGACAAATAATGAGTGAGAGCTGAATCAGTACTGCAGGAGCTGAGTCATTGGACAAGTTTTTGGCCTGTATTTTAGATTTTACAAAGAAGAAAATCATCAATTTACCACTCTTATGGACTTCTGAAAACTTTAAAAAATGAAATTAATATTCATATATATTAATTTACAAATTTCTATTAGTAGAAGCAAGCTATAAAATTCAAATAAATGTGATATGTTTCCTTTTCTTTTTCAGTCTCATTAAGTTCAGTGAGATAAAGGAGTGTCACATAAAAACGTTGAGAAAAGTTTCTTGCACAAAGGTTTATTTGTAGTGGCCATAGTATATAACATCCACCAATGCTAGTAGTGAAAGTTATTTCTCAAAAAAAAAATTAAAATATGAAAAAAGGAGAAAAGAGAAGGAGAGAAAAAAGAAAAGGGAAAGAAAAATGCAGTAGTGGCTGGATGGGAAGAGATGCAACAGGAATCTTCAAGATGAGCATCCTCCTCAGGGCATGCTCTGCAGTCTGTGGGTCATTTTTTCAGAGTAACTTTTTCCCAGAGTAATTTCAGCAGGGCATCCTCAGCCCTCCCTTTGGTTGCCCTTGGCCCTTGCACAGTGCTCCATGGAGCTGCTTTGGTCAGGCCCAGGTGCTGCACACACTCAATAGATGCCAAGCTTGCATGCATGCGTTACTGGTTATATAAACAACTGAAGTTATCTGCTTAGCCCTGTTTGCTCCTTTTCTACTCACTGCAGAGTTAAGAGGGAAAGAGAACACCAGGCCAGAGCTATGGAGCTCAGTTTTTCAGCAGTTAACATGTGCTGCAATCAGCTGTAAAACAGGTTAGAAAAATGTGGTTGGATCTGTGATGAACAAAGGAAATATCAGCGCTGAATTATAAGGAAGATGCAGAACAGAAATACAGAACAGGAACAGAATGACCAATGGTGAGGAGAAACAGGGGTCTTTGGTGATTAATACCATGTTGTAAGTGACAGGCTCAGAGAATACAGTTTCCTTTGCACCAGCACAGATGACACAGTGAACTGTAATTTTTGCTGTGTGCCGAATTTGTGGGTTCAGGAAATAAGGCATAAATCAGTATGGTAGCACATTAACAGAAAGCAATGAAAAAATTACAAGTTTGCTGAAACAGAAGGGGTGAAGAAAGTTAGAGAGACCATCTATCCTGATAAAGAAATCATGAGATCTCATCACAACTTCTTTTTGGACCTCATGAAGAAAAGCAATATTGCCTAAAGAATAGCAAGCCATAAAAATGGATACAATACACATGCTTACTAAAGTTGTAAGGGAAAAAACAAGATAGGCTCAGTCTCTTGAGTTCTGCATTTAAATTCTGGGAACTGTTGTGCATACGGAAATATAAACCATGGAGAGAACAGAAGGTAAGATTAGGATGTAGATTTAGACATCATCACAAATAACTTTTTTTTAAACCCCAACATAAAGGATAATAAAATAAAGCAAGTGAAGCTTGGAATAATAATAGTAGTATTAAAAAGTAGGTGTTTTCTCTGGCAATGACTAAGAAGATCACTAAAATAAATCAAAAGTGTCACTTATAGTTTTGTCAAAATAAAGATTAATAATTTTCTGCTCCAGAGAACTTATTCTCAAATACATGTATAATGCTAACAAGTTTTGACAGTTTGGAGGTTAAATTCATAAATTTATATTGGACAGGGAAAAATACTAGAAAAATTATCTTAGGAAAAAAACCCTTGTTTTAGCAGAAAGGTAGTTAATATGATGATAGAATTTATTTCTACTGTTCTGACTCTGTCACTCATTAAAGAAGTGATGCTCATATTGAAGAATGAGTAAATTAAAATGACTTCCTGATTTTTTTTCTCTCTGAAGATATTTTCATAATCTAGAAAGGGAAAAAAACCCAACCTAAATAAGGTTTCAGAAAAGTAACTTTCCTCATAAAGAGCCAATGTAGCCCTTGCAGTTTCGATTAAGGATGCACAATATAACCCAGCACAAACATTTCTCAGAAACCAAGAAAATATTTTAAAGTCAACTTGTTAAGTAATATGATCTAAATATTTCTTAAATCTGAAGAATGGCAATTAAACCACAGTTTTTAGCCACATATTGCCCCACTGTAATCAGAAAATATGTGGATTGTGTCTTGAGTGGCTTGGGACTAGATCTGTACCCATAATTTTCCAAGAATGCATTTTCAAGAGGGCACAGGACTTGGTTCTGTGCCTAAACAGAAGCTGTGATTAATTAAGACAAAAGAAGGCAATCTGGAAAACTGAGCCCACAAACTCACCAAAGACTGAGCTAGATCTAAGGTGAAGAGGCAAGAAAAGGGAAGAAATTGTTTGATTCCTACTTGCTGAAGTCAGAAAGATGGGATTTATTTTGCAATGAATGCTGTCTATTAAAGTGTTAGCATTGGCTATCTGTGTTCATGGCATCAAATCTAATTTTCTGAGACAAAGTGAGACAAAATACTGAGTGAATAAATAAAATTTTAGTGAAGAAATATACACAGGCTTCAAGAATTTTTGTCTTTCAAATTGAATAAAAAAGGCATTTCCATTTAATTTTAAAAATATATGGCCGAATCTTGAAAACCTCTGCCATAGTTTTTTCAGATTTTGCAACAAAATCTTTATATGAACTGCCTAGTACATCCTTTGGTGTTTCTTTGAAGTCATACCCTTCTGTATGCAGTCTGCACCAGCCAATAAATGAAAAATAATGGAACTACCAATACTCTGTAGCTCATTCAAATTCAGCAGCCCAAACAGCACTATCCCCAAAGTGTCTGTAGCACACCAAAACAATTCTGGCAGTGATGCATTAGTATTAAATTAATGACTGCATTAGACTAAGGAGCTTCCACTGACTAGTGGGTTCCTGGGTAACCCTTTTCTGAAAACCTAAAACCACTCAATTCATGGTATGACCAGTGAAATGAGGAGACCCTTTCACAAGAAAGAAAGAGCATGTGGCTCTTAGCAGGAATGTAATTACATTCCACAGACATCTCTTTAAACTGTACATTTTACATTGTATTCCAGTCAGCTACTGTACTCATCCAAGATCAAACTATAAATCCTGAATCTAAATACATAGAGCTCAAGTTTCCAACAGCATTGGCATCTGATTCAAAAGAAGTATTTACAAATATTTTAATCAAAAATGTAACTTGGAAATTATGCAGCAGAATTTAGCTTGATATTGCAGTGTATGAAGCAATCTTTGTCATTAAATAATTAAAAACATTTTTTAAATCTTTTTCATTCTATAAAATATTTTAAAAATCAGCAATGATATATTAATTGAGCTGTTTGCCTCTTGTGTTTTTAGTTTCATTGCTAGTTTTGTGTAAATATTCTTAATAGAAACTATGTAAGAATATTATGAACAATCAGTGGACTTTTTTCTAATCAATGTAAATTTTGACCTAAGTGAAACAAAAATTATTTGAGCTTTGCACATATATATACAGACCCTGAATGTTCCTTTTCTCATGAGAAACCATCAGTTTTGAGGTGATATTGAACATTGGAATGATTTCTATTCTAGAAAGGGTTTGTATTTGGATGTATTAATGAAATGCTCTGAGTTGTTTTCTTAATACCTACGTGAAACCCCAAAAAATTAGCTCTAAAATATATGTAGAGGCTGAAGCAAACAAAGGAATTAAAGGAACATGTTATTTATGATACATTTTAAGAGTAATTAATTTCATTTTCAAAAAAATTTCATTCTGATGTTTTTTAGATATGTCACACTGGAGGGAAAATGTACAGGCAAATACAGTAAACTGTAGAGGTAGCTGGGGAAAAAAAGAGTGAAAAGAAAAGACTGATAACAGAATGTGAATGTTTGGGGGTTTTTTTCAGATTTGCAGCAAAACCACACAAGGACTTTGCAACACAGTCACAGAAGACCCCGTTTTGCAAAGCAAGTTTCTTACATTACAGCTCATTTTGCAGTGTTTTATTTTCTAAGAAACATGTGGAAAGATAAATGTATCTATACACAAATAAGGGGGAAATACAAATATGTTCTTTCATTTTCAGATGCTGAGTAAAACTTGATGGCTCTTTTCCCTTGTAAAGTTAGATCTCACATGTATTATTCCCTCACTGTTTTTCTTCTTCACCTTCACTTTTCCTGTTCAATTTGCAAAATACCAGCTGATGCTGCACTGTGGAGCTCAACTGAAATGTGACAAACTATGTACAGGGAAAACAAAATTTATTGTTACACAACCTGTGTGTAAACACAGAAATATCACAGGCTCAGGGCCAGTGTGCAAGATTTGTTCTCCATATGCAAAGTTCCTTCCTATGTATTTAACCATGATCTCACATGCTATAAAGAATTCATTTCACTGGCTTGCTCTGCTTGCAACTCTCCTATCACACTTTATTAAACATTCTTATTCTTGCTTTGCCAACCCAAAGGCTGCCTGAGGCAAAGCAATTGGTTTTGTGAATGGGAGGTGTCTTGGAGTGGACAAAGAAAATAAATGTAACAAAAGCACCAGACTTTGGATTTTGAGAATTTGAAGTGAAGAACATGTCCAGAGAGACATGCCAAAGTTGCCTTTCACTCTCTAGATATGTGTGCAAACTACCTTATATCTACTTAATATAATTCTCACATGAAACTACAACCACAGAAGAAAATTATTGTTTAAGTCTAGCTCTGGTGCTTTTGACAGAGATACTGGATCTTCTTAAGGCAATTCATAAGTCTGAACAGACACCAGAAATATTTTAAATTATTTATATAGTAAAATTGCCCCTTTTTTATCAGTCTTTTAAGTTGTACAGAATAGATTTTTTTTTTTGGTCATTTACTTTCACACAATTTACAGAGCAATTCAGTATCTTAAAAAAATCAGGAGTTTTTCTCTGGAATATGTTCAAAGGGGTTTGATTTCAAAAGAGAAGAGAAAGGCAAAGAACTTGTTTCAAATGCATTAAAAATACAAGGGATAAGGGAATAGATTTCTTTCAAAGGATTTGAATGACCTCATTTATGATATCATCAGCACACCAAGGTGGAAATATTTCTTCATATCACTGCTGTTCTTTATTATTGCTCATAATGTGTATTTTGATTATGCCTTGGCTGCAGTACTTAACACCAGTCATCTCTACAAGATGAGAATATTCCTATATGTAAGTATAGTCTCCATGGAAACGCCACAAAAAAGAGACTATTCACATTTTATATTAAGAATCTTTTATGAAAAGGTTTTTAATAATAAAAAAAAAGAACCATTTTTAATAGTCTAATAAGCCAACTGATCACTCATAAAAATAGCTATGACACTTTTAGGTATATCTCTACAAGATAAATGGATAAATTACTTGTGTTTATTACATGCTCCTAATTTTCATTAATGAATTGTTCCTGCAAAAAAATTAACAAATGTATTATCCGTATGAAAACCTACCAAATTTATAAAATACTATGAAAAAATATTCTAAAAAGCAACATCTTCTAATCAAGATTTCACATTAACAAATTTTCCAAATAATAGGAAAAAATAAAGCACATACTAGGGCACAAAGACATAGTCGGTACTTTTAAATAAGGTGTCCTAATTTATTGGCTGCCTAGATGAAGTCTCACTATCAGTGCAATGTAGATATCACCTCAGCAAGTAAATACAGTTTTATTATGAGCAAAATATAATTTTGACAGGCACTGTTGTAACATTAATAATGCCAAGAGATTATGCTCACAGCACTGAAATTCAGGGTTTGCTGGAATTAGTTACCATCAAGAATATGTTTGTGACTCTGTAATAAGATTATTCAGCTTTGCTCTTTAAGGTATCAGCCAAAAATATGAACTTTCCAAGGGCTGTGACCATGGCACTGGTGGTGGTGCATCACCCCCTGGCCCTGCCCAAACCAGCCAGGTGGGGATGTGTCCCTGAGCAGAGCAGGTGCTGCAACACCAGCACCCACTGTGGGGCTGGGGTGGGGAGCAAAGGGTGATCAGTCATCCCCTGACAGCCCTGGAACGTTCCCTGCCTCAGCTGGAGCCCAAGCAGAACAGCACCATTGTTGCCGAAGTTTTGGAAACAATTTCCAAATGTTTTGGAAACTCCAGCAGTTGCCAGCGTGGGTTATGGTCAGGATGGAAACCAACTGGTGACTAAAGCAAATCACCTTGTGACCCTGCACACAGCAGTCCTAAGTGAGGCCTTCTGAGCCCTTCTGGGCCACAGTGGGCTGTGCCAGCACCTCCCTCTCTGTGGGGCACCTCTCAGAGCTCGGGAACCCTCAAGTCTGAAATGCTCAAAAGACCATCACGGTGAGGCCTGGGCTGACACACACACACACACATATGCACACACACACAAGCACACACACACACACACACACACACATGCACACACACACACACATGCACACATGCACACATGCACATAGACTCCTTGAGGAGCAACCCCTGGGCTGATACACACACACACACCCACACCCACACACACCCACACACACCCACACACACCCACGCACACGCACACACACACATGTACACATGCACACAGACTCCTTGAGGAGCAACCCCTGGGCTCACACACACACACACACACACACACACAACACACACACACACACACACACAGACTCCTTGAGGTGCAACCCCTGAACCCCTGCCTGGTGAGAAACACTCAGCCATTTGCCATGAATATTTCCCTGAAGTTGAGGGGAATTTTTTATAAGCACCTTTACACTGACAGACAGACATGCATTTATCTCCGCCTATGTGCATGTGAAATTGTTATGGTGTGAATGTTGTTACGATGAAACTGTAATTAAGCCACGGTTATATTTATAAAAAATTCCCATTGAATCACTTAATAAATGTTAAATTACTCAGTGATCAATTTCTGTTAAATCCTTTTGCACACCTTATTTTTTGTGCTCATACCCTTTGTGCCCTTACCCTTTTTCATCCTCAGTCTCCATGTAATCTCTTATTAATTGTTACTAATCTAATTTTCCTATGAATGCCTCATCCTTGCAGTAAGTAAGAGAGTGAACTTTGCCACTGAACTCTGTTAAAGTCACACTTCCATAAGTTCATATTAAGCTCATACCTGCTTTTTACCAATACCCCTGTTGGTATTGATGGTAAGGATGCTTTAAGCAGCCTTACTACTCATTTGCAACAATACTGCATGAAATGTAGCATGCATTTTATAAAAATTACCTTCAAGCCGTCCACTTGCTGTGTTTATGGCATAGTCTCATGTAATAAAATAATAAATAACATATCTAGAGTAACTTTTGCATAGGAGATGCACAAATCATGGGTCATTTTCCTTTCACCACAATGATGGTCAGATTTCATTCAGTAGCATATAAAGAAAATATATTTAAATTTATATTCCTTCCACATGCTGACCCAGAGAGAGATTACCCTCCCTGTATGGCTCAGGATAATAAAAGGGATTATGGATACCCTAAGAAACATATTTTAAATTAATTACTGTACCCATCCCTGCTAGTTCTCTATCAGGTTTTCCAAATCTTGTTTTACAAACAGTTAAAGCAAGATGCAGATTCATCTGTTCATTCACACATGTGCATAACAAATTCCATACTATTACACAGAGACAAATAGTGCATATAATAAAATTTTATCTAATGAAGTAAATCTCATCTCTTTAACTGAACTCACATGAAAAAATGCCAGTGGTCCCGATATATATGGCATTTTCATTCCCAGCAGATACTTCACTTGCGAAGTCACGACGTGTGTAGCTGCTCCTGTTGTCATGGCACTTATGACAGGTTCTGTTAACAAGAAAGTGGCACTGCCCAACTGCAGCATGAACATCACTACCTAAAAAGCAAAGGCAGGAGGATCAGCAGCTTCTTGGTGATAGGACAATGAGTCAGAGTGCTTTTAATAAGTTATAAGATAAATGAGCTAAAGATACAAAGCAAAAGTCCTTTGGAAGATAAATCTATCTGAAAATGGAACCCACTGAAGTTCTGTGGGTTTATCTGCACTATTTTACTCACTAGTTTACCAGACTCTAATACTAGTTTAGCAACAAAAGCAGAGTCAAAGAAACTCTAAATATTGTCTCCTGCTCAAATATGTAAGCACAATAAACACCATAAAAACATCAACTCAACACTGCAACAAGTACAGCAACTCAAAAATTGAGGCTGGTTCTGAGACTTATTCCTGTTCCACTGCTTTGCAGCCTAAATGGGCCAAGAGCCATATCTTGGTCCAGCTTACTGATTGCCATAATGTCACTATCAGGATTCTCAAAATTAGTAATTTCAACAGATACCAAATTTATGAGGTGCTACAGAGACTCTTGTGGTGAGACCCCTAATCCAGAAATTTAAACTACAGCAGGATCTGCAACTATTGTAGGTATTGTTGTGTTCAACTCTTTTCTCCCCTTATCCTGTGCTTGGAACATTCTTTCTCTCCAAAGTATGAATTTTGATAACTCTTCATTCTTTGCACAAAGTTGCTACATGACTACAGCTGCTACTGTGGTGTACACAACACTTTGTGCTTTTCTGATCCACATTAAGTTACATTGACATTATCTCCCTTCACAATGAGTTTTGCAGTTTCTAACTTCTGCAGTCTTTTGCATTTGCTGCTCTTCTCCCTGAAAAGTTACATGCTCTTGGCACAGAGTTGTTTGTTACAATACTTTCTAAGAGGTTCATTGTGTGTTTACCATACTAAAAATCATCATTTTGGAATATATCACAGTCTCCCTTGCTTTTTGGGGGGTTAGATTTTTTTGGTTTTTTGTTTTTTTCTGAAGCTAAAACTGTTATTTTCAGATGTTATCTTTCTTTATGCCTGAACACCATTCATGTTCTCACCATAAAGCTCACCTGTATGCAGAGAACTTTGGGCATAGTACCGCAAAAGAAACAAAAATATCAAAATAAGTGGCTTTTAATTAACCACAAAACCTCTAGTGAGCAATATCCTCTTCCATTTGAGAGATTAAATCTGAGATTTTTCTTCTACTTCCCACTAATAGCATGTAAATTTCTCTTTACTATGAGCAATTGGAACATTGATTGCCATTCAAGATTGGACTCCAATAATGATAATTACTGTGTACCGTCAGTGAGTAGTAATTTAGTTAGTCAGGCCTAAAACTGATAATTACTAATTTCAGATACTTTGTTTAGCTGTTTGTTCTAACAGTGTGTCTACTTCTATATTTAAAACGTTGTTCACAGTAGCAAAGTTCAATAAGAATTCAGTTCTCCCTTCTCTTGGGAATTTTTGTTTGTTTTCTAAAATTGGTTTCTATTGTCTGAATGTGAAATTTCTAACTGTGTAATAGCTTAGTTTCCAGGAAATTGGATGTTTATTTAGCTATGGAATCAAAACCACAGAGACAATTCTGTATACTACATAATATCAGAGAGAAGTATTAGTTACTATTAGCATTTCAGAGAAAGTTATTATTGTGAGTTACAGCAAAATGATTGCTGAGCCTAGAAATTTTAGCATCACTCTTAGATCTACTTTTTGGTTTTTTACTTTTTTTTTTGTTTAATCTTCAGCATTTTAAGAGGATGCTTCACAGGTACTAACTAAAAGAACACATTTCAAACACAATTTTTATTGATTGCATGGAACCGTGGGCTATGTAAAATAGATGCAAACCATGGGTGTGGTTTCAGTTAGACAATTTCTGTAGCCACTCAACTGAACAAGCAACACTTGGTGCCCTTTGCTTCCTGCAGAAGGCAGCTCAGGACTGACAGAGACAAAGGCAGTACTTCATGAGCATGAACATCCCACTCTTTATTTACATGATAGAGAAATAATTATGATGTGCACCCATACAACTTCCATGGAGAGGATCTAAAAGTGAAGCAACCAGAACAGGAAACGTTCTGGGTGGAGGGTGTAATTTTTAGCACAAACTGATATGGGTACCTCATGTTGTCCCTGCAACATGAGTAATGGAGAGAAACCGCTTGGATCGTGAGGAGGAAAAGGTTTTGAAACAAGCCTCCCAAATCTATCTGCGTGTGAATTTTCCTGACAGATAAAATTATTATTAGCATTTACACAGGCCCAGATTGACTCTAAAATTAACCCTCCATGCTGGGCAAGAGCCATTTAAGCTTGGCTGCCACTGCATTTTGAATAAACACCATTTGAAACTTAGCTAAGCTGACAGCACTCAATTACATTACATTGCGTTATGCCATAAAATCTTTCACCCAGTAACACTGACCCAAGTGTAGAAAGTTCAATATTCTTAAAGAAATGTCTAAAAATCTGCTTTATTTTGGCTATTGGTTGTGATGCTGATTTTTGCAGGTCTTCCACTTTATTTTCTGGTATATTTTATGATTTCTTTTTGTTCCTGATGCAGACACACTACAGAGAAAAGTGCCACTAAAGTCCTGGAACAACAACAACAACAACAACAACAAAAAGGCAAATATTTTTTCCTTTTATTATTTATAATAATGCTGATATTCTCTTAACTTGTAAAAGAAAACAAAGTTTCACTTATTTTAGAATTGCATCCAGAATTTTTAATTTTTAAGAACTTAGTTCCTAGAGGATAAAAGCAGATTTCAGGGAAAGAATATGCTCAATATAAAAGTGGTTTGAAAGGCACTTGGCTATTGATTATTTGTGTGGCACTTCCAGTACATAATACTTTGTAAAAAGGTTCCTTAAGAAGTAACTGTCTTGAGATGAATTTTGCTTTCACCAGGTATAAATTCTTGAATAAATTCATGTAAATAAAATAAAGACCTTTCAGAGAAAAGAAAAAGCAATATAAGATAAAGTGAGGGAAAGCAGCCTTGAGTTAATGCACAGTAAAGGAGAAAAGATCACAGAACAAAGGTATACAATGAAGTGATTAGACAGAAGTAGGGAAAGGTGTGATTCCCAAAAAAAAAAAATGGAAAAAATAAGTAAATTTCAAAATGGAAGAAAAACAATACAAAGAGAACCTTTTTTGCAGCTGTCTTTACTGCTCCATAATTTTACTCTGACAAGTAGAAGAGAATGGTAATTTAGTCAGGAGAAGAAAAATGAGCAATCGCAAAAAGCAAAGCCCTCTATGTTCATTATCCAGAACCTTTGGTTCTTGCCCACTTTCAATACTTTCTTCCCATGACAACATGCTCAGTCTGTTATTATTATTATTAAAATTCCATTCAACATGTAGTCAATTTAACTCCATGGCCAGTAAAAATTTTTATCACTTAACAGCTCTTTGGAAATCACCAAGGTCGAACTTTCTGTCCCCAGAAATTGGAAGACTGACATGGTGTTGCCTGCTGCACAGATCCAGCTTTGGAGAGTGAATTTTAAACCCCTCAGAACTCCACTGTTCTGGAAGGGGTTTTCCAGTGTCACAGCAGACAAATGGTGGGGCCCTTCCTGACCATTTGCTGCATGGGCTGGGTGGATGAGGCCAGAACTGGGAGCATCTCTTGGAGCACAGGCTGCGAGCCTCTCATTTAGTACGTTTTATTGATAATCTTAAAATCTAAGTTTGCAAAAGTGAAGACTTCTATGGACACTCTGGAGACAACAGTCAGACGCAGTTCAACTCAGCTGAGCTGCCAATTTAAAATCTCCATGGCCTGCTTCAATGGACATCTGACTGGCAGACCGCTAGCTTTTGGTTCTTTGAGCTGCAGCTCCTATGTTCATTCTGGGTGTCCTGAGAGTGTCTGGTAGCTTCTGATGGTGTGCACAGTGAACTTTCCTCATTCCAGGACCTGAAAAAGTCTTTTCTATGGTTTTTCTGTACTAACACATGTGGTAGTATGCTCTACCATAATTGTGAGAATCAGAACTCCCTTTTGAAAACTTGCAATTTTCAAAATACAGAATAAGAGCCTGCAATGAGGTATTTCCATTGTAAAAGAAAAATGAACTTTTTCCCTGATTATCACTGTATAATAGACTCATGTTTTTACCTCATGCAGAGCTACGGGTGACAGAATATTGCAGCATCATTTTTCTCACAGGGTAATAGAGATTTGGACAAGAATACTGCCTTACAAAAATGTCCTTCTTATTCAAATGTACTCGTTTTTTATTAACCAAATTGATAATAGACTGTGTAAATTTGTTCTCCTGAATACCAGAAACATTTTTATATCCAACGCTGTATATCAGCAACTAATTACATGTTAGTTTTTAAAATACTGTAGATGAAAAACTTGCCAATAAAAATGTTACAAGACTGGAATTTAATAAGCAGCTATTTCTCCTCTAGAGAAGAATAGCCCAACTGAAGTCTGTAACACTGTGGTCTTGAGAGAATTCAGGTTTTTTTCCTAGGATATTTTTTCCTCAGTTTGATCTGCAAGGAGCTTTCCTCTATTTATTCAGCAAATCTTAATCTTGAATTTCATTTTAGTATGCTGAGATTATTTTAGAGACACATATATTTATGCAAACATTCTTGCACATATATTAATAGGGAAAAAAAAATCTTACCCAAAAGCACTTTTGAGGATTTTTTTAATGTTATAAAGGCAGCATCCAATTTTAATTACAAAATTACCCCATATATGTCTGCTATGTTCCATCATTTTCTCTTCCCATCAATACCTCCAAGGTATTTGATATCAGGGAAGATTTCTATTAGCTTGATTTGTTTTCTATGCCCTGTTTATTTTTATAGAGTAGCAGCTACACAAACATTAAAAAAACTTCATATGCCTTCCATTCTGCTTTTTAAAATGAAATAACGCATGCATTATATTAAATGGGTATGGTAATTGAAGTTTTTATTTTATGTTTACTTATTTTCTATTTTAATACTATTTTAACTTCATCAGAATGCCTCTTAATATAATTCAGTATTCTTTCTCTTTTATGAGCACTTCCTTAAACATTAGATTTCAGAAGTAGTTCAGGACTCTGAAATTTATTACTTTGAGAAAAACTTAAGCAGCTAAGCCGTAATTTGAATTGTGGAAATCTCTACCTATCCTTGTATTATGATAAGAAAATAGTGCTAATTTTTGTCTAGATGGCGCTGAAATTCACAAAGCCTGCTCAGAGTTTGCCTCACACACAAATGCACAGTTGTGGTCTGCAATAAACACAAGCTAGCCAACAGCAGTTCATCTCAAAAACGCTCCCCCTTCCCCCACCTTCCCTCCATTACCCACTATTTTTTATGTTTTCTCTTTTATTTTAACATTATTTGCTGATTTGATTACTTAGCCATGCTACTGGAAAAATAGCATCAAATTGCTTTTTAGGCCAAGGGTGTACAGCTCTTTACCTACTCTTTCCAAGAAGGAAACAGCTGTTTTGGCAAGGACCTTTCATCCTTTGCCTGGAAGATGCCCAAGGTAGGGATAAGTCACAGCATCTGTTGTTTTTATGCAATTAGTGGCTGATTAGAGAACTGCATTTTGACTATTTTTCAGAAAAATTAAGTCTTATAGTAGATAACATAACCCAGGTCTGCTCCCTTCCCAAAGCAGCACCATCCCAGATATCAACTACACAGAAAATCCAACTTCTTTTTGTATTGCAGGATGTCTTCAATGAAAAGCTGTTGCCCCAAAATGCATTGTACTATTCATCTTGTCCCAGAACACACATTAATTTCAGGCTACTAGGTAATTTCTAATCTAATCTGATAAATAGAAGAAGGTGACTGATTCAGCTACCCATTAAGAGCAACACGTGCCCTGTCACCTTATCTGGGGTTTGCAGCAACTGTTAGTTGGGAGACTGGAATCTTGATTAGAGACATAGATTGCCACACTTAACAGCACCTGGGAAGATGCCAAAGTTTAATCTCAGCCTTGATCAGGACTTTCACCTGCATATTGCAGTATTAGTATCTTCAAGGCACTTCTTTAGGAAATAAGTGTTTATAAGTGTTACTCTGGCCTGCAACCATTAAGCTCACACAAAGGATGGGTGGCAGCATGGCAAGCACCAGCTGTGTTATATAATTCTAATGTAAGTGACATTATTGACCTGGGAGAGGAGCCCATGCACGTGGCACAGTTCGCTGCATCTGAAGATGCAGAGAGGATTTACCAGTTCTTCTCACTCCAGTCAGGATTAAAGAGGACATAGGCTGAGATAAATCAACTGATGCACATAGGCTGAGATAAATCAACTGATGCAGTGGAAGGCATATGAAAAAGCAGAACTTTTCTGGATGAAGGAGTGTAAGAGGTCTAGAGGACTTGCACACCTAACACGATACTGCAGCCACCAAGCAAAACAATTTCTGCGTTGGATTTTGAAGTTACATCAAATGAATGCAGGCACCAGCTTCCCACATAAGGCACTTTGGCCTCTCTGGGGATGATGCAGGAGCTTTCAAAGGCACAGGACTCCTGCATGAAGAGCTCCATTCATGCTCTGCTGTTGCACACACCCTGCGTTAGATGCAGTGCTGGGACAGCACGTGCAGGCACAGCCAGGCACAATCTGCATCAGCTCTGCTGTCTGGGCTGTCTGTAGGCTGTCCCTCATGCTCCAAAGTCATCATCCAATAAAAGAATTCTCGTCATGATCCAATAAAAGAATTCTCATCATAAATCAATAAAAGAATTATAAGAACACACCAGAAATAACAATGCTTCTTGATATTTCCTACTGACTAACATGAGTATACACCCCAGTTCCTGCCAAGCACGTAGGCTACTGAAGATCCCATTCTGGGCCCCTTTGCTCATCCTCTGCCTGGGAGAGGGATCCAAAGCACCAGGTGGAGGGGTCTGGGTTTGTTTCAGGAGCCCAGCTACCTAGGAGGAGTTGCAATGTCACATGCTGGAACAATTCTTCTCTTTTAATATTTACAAGGAAAGAGGGAAGCCTTCATTGAAAACCTAAGCACTGGCAATGGATGAAGAAACTTGGCCCCTTTAGCCAGAATAGGAAAAAAGAAGAAATTTAAAAGACCTCTGATCATTTAAATAAACTTTAGAGAATCATTTGAAGACATCTGTTTTACTATTTCACTTTAATGATGGGTGTGTGAACTCTAAAGAGAATTTAAAACTTTCCCTACTGTTTTTAATTATTGGATATTGTATAGTATTGCTTTTCAAGCCAAGGGCAACAGAAAGCCACAGGAATATGTCAGTGCTTACCAGGAGCTGATTCATGTTTGTTTCTGAAGAAGGAAAAGAGACACCAACTCCAAGTGAGTATTATGGTAAAGCTGACTGAAGGTGATTTTGCTTCATATTGTAAAACTGAGAGAATGTATATAGATAACTACATCTCAAAAAAGGATTAGCAAATTCTTAAAGTGCATTAATTTCATCATTTGTGCCCATTGAAGCAGATGTTTTCATTAGTTTTCCTCAGAGAAGTATAAAAACTATTATAAATGTCATAGCTGTAACAAAGGCAGTACATCATTAGCATACAGAAAATGGGATCACCACCAACCTGAATGATTCCACCTAGAAATGAAACTGCTGCTGCAACTCCAATCCTCTGCATTTCAAATTCTGACAAACCCAAAATTCCTGAATTATTGTTTGCTGTGAAATTAGTTCTGACTGAAGGAACAAGACGCTCAACTGCATTGGCAGATATTAAGGAAGTTAAAGCAAAAGTTCCTGTAAAAAAAGCCACACATTATTCACGAATAATTGTATATCTGTCTGTACTCATCACTCATGGTCTCTTTTTTAAAATGGCCATTATAAGTAAAAGTGCCATTTTTTACATTCCTGTCATCATAAGAACAATTTTAAGATATTTTTTTCTATGCAACACACATTTCTTCCCATAAAATACCATTTATACAGGCAAATTAAATGAAAATCCTTTTTTAAGCACATTAATTAAGACAGGTTTACAAAAGGCATTCAAATACAGCAATTTAAAATGATTTCAAGTTATTTCAAGTTATCAGAAATGCTTTTAACTCACCCTGGATGTGATCAAGCAGCTATTTCTCTGAGAATCCCAAGTGTTCACTATTCAAATGTCTAGGGCAATTAATTCACACTATATATATAGTACCTAGCCCATTAAATAGTACCTAGCACTCTAATAAATGGAGGCAAATTATGAGAAAAACATTTATTGGCTGAAAGAGATAAAGCATATTTAATGACACAAAGATAAATGAGGGTGACAATTCAACATTAAAAGACACAAACATGCAGAGCTATTAGAGCACAGGAATATCTTGCTATGTCAGACCAATGGCCCATCTTGCCCAGTACTCTGCCTCCAGCTGTGATAGTCAGAGGTGTTACCTGGGGAATGCACACAAGCCTGGCCATTTTCTGTGGGCCATTGCTCTTATTGCCAGCATCCATAGCTGTTGTGTTAGTGAAGTACTTCCTTAGCTGGCTTTTTTTTATTTTGTTTGTGGACTAGCATTCATGAATTTATCAAAGGTTGTCTGAACCTGCCTGTAATTTCTCCTTTTTCAATGTTGTCTGAGAGCAGGTTTCAGAAGTTCAGCACCTGCTGTACTGTTTTCTTTAATCTATACTTTAAAAGTCTTCTAAAACAATTTCTCTCTGAACTCACATTTTTTCTACTCCTGCAGGACCTGTTGTACACAGTCCTGCCCTCACCTTGGCCTTCACAGGGTAAAGCCCACAGCATGAATTCCTCAGGAACCCACCAGGGATTCCACCAGCCTGAAAAGTGACCATGAGGTCCAGCCTTTTGCTCCATATCTTTCAACCTGCTAATAATTAATAAAAGGACTTTTCTTCTATCACAAGGACAACTTAGTTTCTTTAGTAACCTTTGGTGTGGAGCCTTATCAGTAGCTGTTTGACCATTCTGATATCTTATATTCAAAGTATATCCTTTCTCCATGCACTTGTTGACATTCATGCAGTAGTCTAGATGGTAGTGAGGTAGGATTTTCCTTTACAGAAGTCACATTAACTCCTCTCCAACAGGGTCTGATTACACATAGCTTTTATTGCCCCATCCCTGGAAGTGTTCAAGGCCAGGTTGGATGGGGCTCTGAGCAACTTGACCTAGTGGAAGATGTCCCTGACCATGGCAGAGGGGTTGGAACTAGAAGACCTTTAAGATTCCTTTCAAACTTGGCCATTCTATTGTTGTAAGTTGTTTGCATAAAATTAAATTTGTAAACACCTTACATGAAGTTCTATCTTAAATCAAAGATGTGTATGTGCTGTTTATGGCAGATAAAACTGTCTCAGAGAATGGTTCAAAATCAATTATGTTAAAAAAAGTCAAAAGCTGTATGTATTTGTTGCTCAGGTGAGAAATCTCTTAAGGTAGATCAGCCTTTTCAAAGAAGAGGCATTTCAAGTGAATAACAGTTAACTGAACAGGGCCTTTGATGGATTTTCTATTTCATACTAACATGACTGCCTTCACTAACAAAGAACAATTTTACAGCCTGTGTACATATGGAGAGCATCTCAGATCTTACAGAAAATTCTGGTAAGTGAAGAGGTTGTCTCCAAAGTCCATAAGGAACTATGGAGCAGCTGAGGCAGGCAGTATGGCTCCTGTACACTCAGCTACACACCACAATGCCTTAACTGGGGCTGGGGGAACAAGTGCATGAGACCTTCTCTCTGAAAAGATCAACAAAGATGTCGCTCAAATTTCTTAATTTAAAAAATTCCATATGTGCAAGAGAAGTCCTTTGTTGCCTTTTTTTTTTCATTGAAATTAAATTTTGAAATAGAATTGTGAATGGAAAGAATTTCCACACCAAGGACCATGCAGAAATCTGCAGACATGAACTCAGCAAGGCATTCAAGGCATTCTCTGAACACTCTTCTCTCCCAAGGATAAAACATCAGACTTAACAGCATACTTACCTATTTTATCAACTGTTTTCATTACTAGAATTTATGGCACCCAGATGCTTCCTTATCTTTCCTACATATGATGGATTCTTGTCTTCCTAATAATCATACAACAACAAACTTCTGACAATACACTTCTAATTTTTTTTTTGTTTTGAAACAGCTTTTTAATATAGGCTATAGTTTTAATCTATCTGTATTCAAGAGAAAAATTTATTTTCCAGATTCTAAATTTCCACCTTTTCTTGGAATGCTTTAACATGAGTTGAATACAGTCATTACAACATTATGACACTAACACATCTACAGATCCTTTTTGGACATCAAAAGGCTCAAATATTCTCTGTACATCTAGGGAAAGCAAACTTCCAACTTTCTTTTCTTCTCTAAGACAATTTATAGCTGTTCAGAATTGTATTTTTTTATAATGTAACTGAATATTTTTGATCAAAAAGGGAGCTCAGAATGTGTTGCTAACTTCTTAGTAGAACATGCATACACTTGTGCAATCAGACTCTGCAGAGTTCATTTTGAGTGTGATTACCCAGAACCATCTTTTGTCCTTTCAGGAGATTTTCTGCTCTTCAAGGAAGAGATACTCCTCCCTGCTCAAATCTTCTGACAGCCCCAGGGGCTGCTTCCCTTTACCCAGCCATGCTGTGTGTTGTTGCTGAGCCTATCTCACCCTTCTTGCAAACTCCCGGGGCCACCAAGTGCCCACTTCTGCCCAGCAAAGGATTTGTGGTTCAATCTAATGAGTATTATTACCAGCTGCCGTCTATAATTTTGATTTCTTTGGGCTCAGAAATAGAGCATTCATCAACCTATTAGGAGCCCAAAGCCATTCAATTCTTGAGCTGGTGAGGCTCTGCTGAGGGTAAACAAGTAACTCATACCTACCAGCAGAGTGGCCGGGCAGCATCTTTCTCTGCCTGCCCAGCTGCTCTGCAAGAGGATCAGAGTCCTTACTGGGAGAGTCTCTAGCTTCAATACAATAGCAGGTAATGGGCTCAGAAGGTCACTTTTGTTTTTCTTTTCCTGAGAAATGCAGGATTTGTGTTTTAGACAGGTGAGAAGTAATGTGTGTTTTTTGTGGTTTAAGAGACAGTCGAATGTTTTTCATTTCCATTTACATACATCTTGTTGACAGAGCCCTGTGTTAAACTCTTAGCCTGAAGCAGATTTCTAAAGCAAAGTTAAAATACAAAAGCTCTTAGTAAATTACATTTAGAAAGGAAGTGTCAGTGCAATATAAAATTATAATGGCAGTAGTAACTCCAGTAAATTCTTAACGAGGCTTTTTAAAGTACTTAAACTGACAAAAAATAGTTATAAAGAGAAGCAAAAAACCATCTTATTTCTGTTTAATTATAGATAATTTTCCTTCCATTGACCTTTACACAAGAATAAATTTCAGTATCCAGTTCTGAAAACTACTTTAGCAGACAGACACTTACCTGTTGCAACGTGACGTCCCATTCCAAATATGGCATAAATAATGACAGGGAAAAAAGATCCATATAAACCAAAAACTGGATGGACTGAAGACAGAACAGCAAAGGCCAGCCCTATAGAAAATTAAAATTAAAAAATACTTCACTGTATGATGATAAAACTGTTCTGTTTGCTTTGTTGTTTTTTATTTTTATGAGGAAATGTCTACAATTTTATTAAGAGCAGGAAAAATACTCACCTTCCTTTATTAAAATCTAGATTCTAAGTGAACTACTATACAATAAGGATCAGAAATAACTGTGGAAGATTTTTCATTTCATCATCCAAATCCATATATCCCACCATGTTTCCAAGTTGTCTCCATTAGTGGTTCCAAGCCTCTTTTAATAGCCAGGCCTCACAGGAGGAGGCAGCAATGTTTCACCCCCACCCTCACAAACGTGGGTTTGAGACTGCCAGGCGGTCTCCAGGCAGTGGGATGGTTATTTTTTACAAATATTTCAAACCTGTAATTTTGGTTTGGATGGAGCCCCTTCAGTCCGCTTTCTTCTAATTTCTTAAACAAAAAACTATTCCAGAGTTCATCTTCTTTAGGGGGGTTTATAAGCCTTTAGACATTAACATTTCTTCCATCATGTAAAGCTGTCAGTTCAGAAACAGAAAGTACTTGACTTTCATGTTAAGATGGAGAACAAACAGAATTGGTTCAGGTTTAACTTTTAGACTTCAGGTTTAACTTTTAGACTTACTAATTACCTTCATTGCTTAGCTACAGAGGACAACATCCATCCTTTTCTTAGAAAGTCGTGGACAGGAATTCGTCTTTCAACAGAAACATTTCTGCAAAGCAGCAGATTTGGTTGCTTTTCAAATTGAGATACCTAAGATAGCAAGTGGCTGTCTTGCATTGGCTTCTTGCAAGTCACCAGGAGACTCCCCAGACTTGCTCCAGATCAGCAGGCTCCACGGCCATGTCACAGCTCTTACTTCTGGAAACTAAGAGCGGGAACACTTGGCTTGCACAGCTGCTCCATAAATTTTGGTGAATGCCTCATGATGCAGTCTGGAAGAAAGGACTGGCCTGTGTAACACACAAGATGCCTTTCTCAGGTCCACCTTCAACCTGAGTGCGCTCACCAGCCTAGGGCAGACGTGTGTGCACTGGGAGAATGAGCACCTGTGGTCTGAGACAGGGGAGATTCAGATCTGTGCAATGGAGCTGCCTTCTGTGTACATGTGAAATCCCCGAAGAAAACTAAACCTGTAGGATTCATTGTTCTCTCCTAACTGCTCCAGAAAGCATTCTTTGCCTGAAATGTTGGTGTTATGGGGCTTTGATAGTATGGAGAGTGCCAAAAAGTGTCTTTGTTTATGGGTTTTGAGAGGCAGTTCTGAACATTTATATCCAAAATCTCCTTCTCACCTTTTCATTTGAGTCTGTAACAAAGTGCACGTGGTGGTGGGGGGGAGGCAAGAAAATACAAAAAGGTCAGAAGTGTCAAGTTCTCAGTGAAGCAGTTCATCTGTTCTTAGAAAAAACCTCGCAGTGAAGATTTTGCTGAGGTGAATCCTACATGGATCATTTTCATCCACATTGTGCTCAGCAAAGTAGCACTATCAGTTATGACTTGGGGAAGAGATATTTTTAAATCTGTTTAGTTTTGAACTTCTTTTAAGCAGAAATGGACTTGGTTGCTCTTCAGCCTTATGATGAGTGCATATACTGATAGTCACTTCTGTATTTTTCTCTTAGCACAGCAGTATCATAAGCCAGAAAGCTCTTTGAAATTGTAGTGTAATGTCCATGTTCATATGATCAATAGTGGTAAAAGAAGATTCTGAACCAAGAGCAACACAGAAGGGTGTGCCTGAGGAGAATAAAAACAGCACAGGAGAGAACTACATGACCCAATCCAGATAAAATTGAGCATGGAGGAGGGAGGGAAACAGAGAATAGGAGAAATAAATTTTTAAATCTTGTTTAATACTGGAAAATTCTTCCATTTTACCCATTTTGAACATGAACAAAACCAAACAGAAAGAGAAAATTTGGAATTAATTTACTAGTTGAATACTACTCACACACATATTCCAGACTTGCAACAAAGCATTATGCTAGGCTAATTATTTGACTCCAAAAAGTGAAGGAATCAGAAAAATCAGTATTTCAGTCATATTTTAATTATAACAACATAATTGAAATGGAGTGACCTGTCTGTGTACTTGCCAAGTATAAGGGAATACACAAGGTTCAGTACTGAATGTTGAGCCAGATATGTACTTTAGAAGGTTTTTGGGAAGAGCTTGTTGATCCTGGTTATAGTTATAAATCCAGATTATCTGCTGCTGATAAATATCACTTGTTTACAGGCAGATAATCTGAGCTTAAATTTGGCCCTTGTTTTTCTCCATTTCATGCCTGGACTTTTCACGTTTTGTATTGAGTTTCTAGAAGCAATTTGTCATTCTTTTTCATGGTGAGGTTGTGGCAATCAGGCCAGAGCTAAAACTACCAGCCTTTGATTTGAGTCCTGGCTCTGTTTGTTAGGTTTTTACTCCCATTACTGAAGGATGTGTAGCACTTACTGAAGTATGTAAGAGCAGAGGGGCATTATAAAATAGAATCAGTAAAGACTTCAGGTTTTCTTATTAGGCATAAAATGCCCTAAAAATTCAAATACTTTTCAAGATGTAATCAGTAGTATATTTAAGCTTATTTCATTAATTTTCATATTAAACTTCACTGCAATGCGTTCTGTTTGCTCAAGAACTTTCCTGTCAAAAGACAAGAAACATTATTTTCTTTTTTTTTCATTCCATAGAGTAATACTTAAAGAAAATAGATCATAAAGTAAGGATCTCCCATAATCTTCACTGGCAATATGGAGAAGCCCCCATGGCAGTGACATTAAGGTTTTCATATAAGAATACAAATTTCATGAAAAGAAATGCAAACAAATATTGAGCAGTATGTTTGGATACAGTACATTAATATTGTTTGTTTTAACTACCTCCTTATCATAAGATAACATTGTGGGACACACTTTCACTGAAAACCATGACCTGTGACTAGCACCAGGTGCTTTCCAGTCCTCTGGCACACCAGGCTGAAAAGCAAGGGATCTTTAACACTTGGTGTCAATGCAAGCAACTGCAAAATAACAAACTCAATACAAAGAGAAACAAGGCCATCTCCTGCCGCAGGAGAAAAGTCTCAGTTTGAGTTGGAAGTTTCTGCTAATTAGATTAGTGCCAAAACTACAGCAATAAAAAAATATTTTCCATAGGAAGAGCTGTGAATCACCAGACTATAGTCAACTAGTTAACAGTTTTCTGCATCTGGAAATATGCTCATGATACTTACATCTGTTCTGAGGAAAACTCTACCACATCTTTTGGAAATACTAGGTGCAAACCAGAAATTAAAATAAGAAGCAGGAAAAGTATTAGGCCAATAATTAATTTGAGGAGTATCAACATGAGTATAATTTAATATTTACTGTAAAAAGCTTTATATATTTTAAAAGTTTTTCTGATAGAGTATATATTCAAATAACTTTCTGTAATTGTAACCTTTTACTCTTAAGTGTGACTATTCCAAGATGGTCAGAGCCCAGGTTTATGGAACCCTAAATGTCACTAATTCATCTTATCCCCCTCAAAAATACTATCTTCAGTTGTGGGCACTCTCTAATGCTTCAGAAAAATATAATTTCTCCATTTCTACTCCTTCTTCTCACAAAGCTCTATTATGTAGCAAGAAGGGTATTTTCTGAGGATATAGAACTGACACATGTTTAATCAGTCTCCTATCAATACTTCCTGGAGAAATCAAATCAAACTAACCAATGACTCATATACTAGGATTTAATTTCTAACTCCAGGATAGGTAACGTCTATTGAAGAAAAAACAAGAAAAGTTTTTTCCACTATAGGAAAAAAAATAACATTATATTTTCATTATAAAAGTCTTCCTACACAAACCTGCTAGTTCTGGAGGGTTCTTTAACAATGGCATCATAAAAGCTCTAAACACAAAATGATCTTTTGGAAATCATTAACTTCCAAAACTGGGCAGCTCAATGTCAGTTCTCTCAATGCACATTTGCTGGGGCTGCAGAAGTGGATTGTACCTTCTGTCTCACTTATTTGGTGACAAAGTACCAAGAGCTTAAAATCATTCCTTGGTTCTTCTGTCATTCAAAGCCTGAGGCAAATGAAGAATGTAAAGACAAAATGGAAGGACAGGCCTTCAAAAACGAACCATAAATCTTTCAGAGACCACACAATGTTGATTTGGCAACCCCCTTCTTTCTGAAGGATCCTTCAGTGCAGCTCCTGCCCATGCAGCAGTCTCCTTCAGCTTGGTAAGAGTTAAGCACCTCAGCTGTGTTAGCCATAGTACCTGAATTCGCAGTATTTCACAGATTCTGAAATGCAGCTCTCTCAATGTTCCATCTGACAAGCACATCAAAGGTGGATTTGAGAAAACATTGTGTTATTCTGCCACTTTACAGATCCCCAGATACTGACATTTGTATCTTAATGTTCAAAAGGAAAATATGCAAGCATTATGGTACAAGAAGTAAGGGGATGGCATGACCAGCTTATGATTTCACTGCTCAAGACAGCTTGACCCTTCTGTATGCAATAGATACGTACAAAACAGCACATTAAAAAATTCCTAGTGTTTTCTTTTCTTTTAATAGAGCTCCTCAAAAAAATCTATCAATCTTGACAGACAATCTGAAATGTTAAGATCCCTTTAGGATAAATTTGACACCATATCTGAACACCACAAAGATTTTATAAACTGCTTCACAGGGAGTTCTATTATCCACTAGCCAGCCGTAAAACCGGAAGAATTCAGCCACCTCCAGAAACAAAGAAGGATTTTGACAGTGGATTATAGGTAAAAATCTCTGTATTTCAGTAAGAATAAACAGAGAATGAAGCCTTCAGAAGTTTCTGGCAAGCAGGTGACTATGAGGTAATCTTCTGAGAAGCATCAATGCTGTGGAGAAACAAAAACCTGTCATGAGTGATTTGAGGCCTTAATCCCGATGAGCTGGACTTGCTGAAATCCATGAAAAGGGCATCCATTTTGGCAAAT